CTTCAATGTTTCACTCAAACTCACTCCTCATTGTTTCACTCAAACTCACTCTTCATTGTTTCACTCAAACTCACTCTTCAATGTTTCACTCAAACTCACTCCTCATTGTTTCACTCAAACTCACTCTTCATTGTTTCACTCAAACTCACTCTTCATTGTTTCACTCAAACTCACTCTTCATTGTTTCACTCAAACTCACTCTTCAATGTTTCACTCAAACTCACTCCTCATTGTTTCACTCAAACTCACTCTTCATTGTTTCACTCAAACTCACTCTTCACTGTTTCACTCAAACTCACTCTTCATTGTTTCACTCAAACTCACTCCTCAATGTTTCACTCAAACTCACTCCTCATTGTTTCACTCAAACTCACTCCTCATTGTTTCACTCAAACTCACTCTTCACTGTTTCACTCAAACTCACTCTTCATTGTTTCACTCAAACTCACTCTTCAATGTTTCACTCAAACTCACTCTTCAATGTTTCACTCAAACTCACTCTTCATTGTTTCACTCAAACTCACTCTTCACTGTTTCACTCAAACTCACTCTTCATTGTTTCACTAAACTCACTCTTCACTGTTTCACTCAAACTCACTCTTCATTGTTTCACTAAACTCACTCTTCACTGTTTCACTCAAACTCACTCTTCACTGTTTCACTCAAACTCACTCTTCAACGTTTCACTCAAACTCACTCCTCAATGTTTCACTCAAACTCACTATTCATTGTGTTACTCAAACTCACTCTTCATTGTTTCACTCAAACTCACTACTCAATGTTTCACTCAAACTCACTATTCATTGTTTCACTCAAACTCACTTTTCATTGTTTCACTCAAACTCACTCCTCAATGTTTCACTCAAACTCACTCTTCACTGTTTCACTCAAACTCACTCTTCATTGTTTCACTCAAACTCACTCTTCATTGTTTCACTCAAACTCACTCTTCATTGTTTCACTCAAACTCACTCTTCATTGTTTCACTCAAACTCACTCTTCATTGTTTCACTCAAACTCACTCTTCAATGTTTCACTCAAACTCACTCTTCATTGTTTCACTCAAACTCACTCTTCATTGTTTCACTCAAACTCACTCTTCAATGTTTCACTCAAACTCACTCTTCATTGTTTCACTCAAACTCACTCTTCACTGTTTCACTCAAACTCACTCCTCAATGTTTCACTCAAACTCACTCTTCATTGTTTCACTCAAACTCACTCTTCAATGTTTCACTCAAACTCACTCCTCAACGTTTCACTCAAACTCACTCTTCAATGTTTCACTCAAACTCACTCTTCAATGTTTCACTCAAACTCACTCTTCAATGTTTCACTCAAACTCACTCCTCATTGTTTCACTCAAACTCACTCTTCATTGTTTCACTCAAACTCACTCTTCAATGTTTCACTCAAACTCACTCCTCATTGTTTCACTCAAACTCACTCTTCATTGTTTCACTCAAACTCACTCTTCATTGTTTCACTCAAACTCACTCTTCATTGTTTCACTCAAACTCACTCTTCAATGTTTCACTCAAACTCACTCCTCATTGTTTCACTCAAACTCACTCTTCATTGTTTCACTCAAACTCACTCTTCACTGTTTCACTCAAACTCACTCTTCATTGTTTCACTCAAACTCACTCCTCAATGTTTCACTCAAACTCACTCCTCATTGTTTCACTCAAACTCACTCCTCATTGTTTCACTCAAACTCACTCTTCACTGTTTCACTCAAACTCACTCCTCATTGTTTCACTCAAACTCACTCTTCATTGTTTCACTCAAACTCACTCTTCACTGTTTCACTCAAACTCACTCTTCATTGTTTCACTCAAACTCACTCCTCAATGTTTCACTCAAACTCACTCCTCATTGTTTCACTCAAACTCACTCCTCATTGTTTCACTCAAACTCACTCTTCACTGTTTCACTCAAACTCACTCTTCATTGTTTCACTCAAACTCACTCTTCAATGTTTCACTCAAACTCACTCTTCAATGTTTCACTCAAACTCACTCTTCAATGTTTCACTCAAACTCACTCTTCAATGTTTCACTCAAACTCACTCTTCAATGTTTCACTCAAACTCACTCTTCATTGTTTCACTCAAACTCACTCTTCATTGTTTCACTCAAACTCACTCTTCATTGTTTCACTCAAACTCACTCTTCATTGTGTCACTCAAACTCACTCCTCAATGTTTCACTCAAACTCACTCTTCATTGTTTCACTCAAACTCACTCTTCATTGTGTCACTCAAACTCACTCTTCATTGTTTCACTCAAACTCACTCTTCAATGTTTCACTCAAACTCACTCTTCATTGTTTCACTCAAACTCACTCTTCATTGTGTCACTCAAACTCACTCTTCAATGTTTCACTCAAACTCACTCTTCAATGTTTCACTCAAACTCACTCCTCATTGTTTCACTCAAACTCACTCTTCATTGTTTCACTCAAACTCACTCTTCAATGTTTCACTCAAACAAACTCTTCATTGTTTCACTCAAACTCACTCTTCATTGTGTCACTCAAACTAACTCTTCATTGTTTCACTCAAACTCACTCGTCAATGTTTCACTCAAACTCACTCTTCATTGTTTCACTCAAACTCACTCTTCATTGTGTCACTCAAACTCACTCTTCATTGTGTCACTCAAACTCACTCTTCATTGTTTCACTCAAACTCACTCTTCAATGTTTCACTCAAACTCACTCTTAAATGTTTCACTCAAACTCACTCTTCATTGTTTCACTCAAACTCACTCTTCAATGTTTCACTCAAACTCACTCTTCAATGTTTCACTCAAACTCACTCTTCATTGTTTCACTCAAACTCACTCTTCATTGTTTCACTCAAACTCACTCTTCATTGTTTCACTCAAACTCACTCCTCAATGTTTCACTCAAACTCACTCTTCATTGTTTTACTCAAACTCATTCTTCAATGTTTCACTCAAACTCACTCTTCATTGTGTCACTCAAACTCACTCCTCAATGTTTCACTCAAACCCACTTTTCCCAGCCGCCCTAGAGGCATGCATCCAGCATCGTGGACGCCCTTTGGTTGGATACTGAGACCAGGACTGCACCACCCCTGCTTTATCAACACAACGTTTCACTGAAATCTTGCCCATTTATTTTTACCAGTTTCTGAAATGGTTTTGTTAATTAAACACCCTTGTATTGTCCGATTGGTATTCTTGAGCTCATATATTTTAATTTTTACGTCGCGCGCGTGTGTGTGTATACAGTACTTCATTTAGCACTCTGTGCAAGAACGCGTGTTCACCACGTCAACACATTTTATAACCTGCTTGCTGTACTGCCTCTGGTGACACGGCCCAGCGGTGACCCCATTCGTAGCTTGTCGCAGGGGAGCGCGGTTCGAAACCCAGTGGCCGCCCGGGCCATTACCGTAAGCTTCAGAGTGCACGTCAAAGATCCCGTGATTTAGTTCACAAGGGCCAGGCCACTGCGTGCCGGCCTCAGGGTCCACATTTTTCCAAATTTCGAAAATTACCCCGCAGGTTACTCAAATTGGGATTACAAACACAGCAGCAGCAGCAGCAACGGCAGCAATCAATGCCCTCCTAATGCCATCAAACCGATGCCCCTGGTCGCTCCTGCAAGTGAGACCTATGCTGGCCTCTTCAGTTGGTGGACATCCCCCCCCCCCCCCCCCCGTGATCCACAAACCACACGTACAATCCGTCACGTGTGCGTTGTCCATATTGTGGAGATGGATTGTGTCTCTTTTGTTCGGTGCTCTACCGATGATCATGCTCGAGAAGTAGTATTATAATGACAGCACCTTGGCGTGTTTAAATACAATGTATATTTGGTTATCATTCCAGCCTCTTACTATTAATAAGTCACTCTTGCCTATCTGTCCGTTGTGAAGGACCATTACCCGAAACGTCACCTCTTATGTATCTCCTCTTTATGGCAGTGCTCTTGATGAATGTTGAGTTTTCCTGAGATGTGTAGACAAGGTGGCAGCCGGGAAAGAACATCCCATCTTCTCCGAATGCCAGTGCACTCAGCTCTGTGGCCTACAATCCACGCGAGCGATAGTCGTGTACCAATGCTGCCACCCTTGGTATTTATCTCCAAAAGTAATAACGAACGTAACTGGTGCGACACGTAGAGCTCACTCAGTGGAGCGCTTCACGAGGCCACGGCCACCTAACGTAGGCAGGTCCATGGATGATCCAGCACTTACTCATTCACTCGCTCGCCCACTCACCTCCTTACTCACCCATTCAACCACCACGCTGGTTCAACCACCACGCTGGTTCAACCACCACAGTGGTTCAACCACCACGCTGGTTCAACAACCACGCTGGTTCAACCACCACGCTGGTTCAACCACCGCGCTGGTTCAACAACCACAGTGGTTCAACAACCACGCTGGTTCAACCACCACGCTGGTTCAACAACCACAGTGGTTTAACAATCACGCTGGTTCAACAACCACGCTGGTTCAACAACTACGCTGGTTCAACAACCACAGTGGTTTAACAACCACGCTGGTTCAACAACCACAGTGGTTCAACAACCACAGTGGTTCAACAACCACGCTGGTTCAACAACCACAGTGGTTCAACCACCACGCTGGTTCAACAACCACAGTGGTTCAACAACCACAGTGGTTCAACAATCACGCTGGTTCAACAACCACGCTGGTTCGATGGTGCTGTTTGTCGCTGGCCGCTTGACGTCCATGGGCCTTGTGCTCAACACACAAACTACGTTTAAACACATGAGCGCAAACGGAACTCCGCGTCTCCGCGTCGTTACCCGCGCCTCTTCTGCGCTCTGCCCCGCACGCAGAATCGGCGGCCTCGTTCCAGGCTCCCCATTTAGGGTCCATGGCCCCCCACGGGAAGGAACGAGCTATTTTCTCGCCGTGTGCTGCTCTTACATCCCCCCACCCTGCCCCACCTCGCGAACGCCCCGGGCTGCTGAATGTGCACAGCGTCGGCGGTGTCCCGGGAGTTGGCGTGGCGTTGTCCGCGGCGTTATAAGTAGGAGAGTGGCGACCGCACCGTCGACAGAGACCCCACTCCAGCCCGAGCGACAGGCCTCCCCTCCGGTAGGTGTCCGTTCACCGCACGCCACCCACCCATCCACACGTGGCACTTGTTCACGGATGTTTGACAGTTCAAATTCTTGAATCGCTTCAATGCAATTGACTGCGCTCGTGTAAAGAGGAAAATGTGTTCACCCGCGTTATTTTGTATTTTATTTTATGCTTCAGTTCAGTTCATTTAGTAGGTATAACCCTGTGGGCCATGCGGCTCTTGAATCGGGTGCAACCGCAACGCGTGGTGGTTGAACCAGCGTCTCTAATGAGACAACTCATGCAAGCAGCCTTCATTCGCAACACATCGTACTCACAGATCATTATTCAACTCATTCTACATTTGAAGTTTTCGTGACTGCAAGGATCCATATTCTTTGGTTCTTTCGGTAAAGTCACGTAGGTGAAAAAAATAAAATAAAATTAATTAAATCACGACGCTTCGATGATGATTTCTTGTGTTGCAATCGAAACGTCGTGATTTAATTCATCATTCAACTGTCTATCAATGGCAATCTGGATGAGGACGCGTACATTGCAAAGGTTTAAAATGTGGGTCGTTTCGTATCTTTAGTAACATCCCGTTGGCTTGAAGCACGAGTCTTGTGTTAGACGCACCAGGGAGTTAGTTTAGGATGACAGTGGTGGCGGTGCGCTAACCGCTGCGCCACCACTCCACAGCCAACAAAGGCGAATGCAAATATCCCCCGAATAGCCTTCACGGACCGTTAGGGCAAGTGCCGTGAGCGAGCGGAGCTTGTGGAGGCCGTCACGGCACACGAGGGGGTGGGGTGGCCAGCGCCACGCCGGACGTACACAGGAGCACGTTCAGCGTGCGGGTGGTGGAGGAGGGGGGGCGGGGTAACGAGGCACTCCCGTTGGAGGTGGTCAAAATATAAAAATAAGCCAAGACGCCCCGAAGGAGTGTGACCAGGAGGGACCCCTCTGAACTTTTCCATACAAGGAAGACTCCGGCTGATGCCGGGCGCCAGTTCCGTAGCCAGTGCGGGGTGGGGCTGGCGGGGCGGGGTGCCCAGGCGCCTCCCCCCCACCCCACTCCCGAGAGAGGCCGCCGCCCGAACCGTTGGAATCGTCGAAGCGAGCAGTGGTGGGGCGGTGCCGGCGTCGCACTAATAGCGGGAGGTGGGAGGGGGTTGTGTGGGGTAACCACCTGTGGTGATCGCTTACAAGTTAAAATAATCAGGTAGATAATCTTACAAGTTAGTTGGGTTTTTCTTAAAACATGGAACTTTAAAACGACTATGTAACATGCATTTGAACTATAAAAGTAGTAATATATATTAGTTATTACTCAGCACGGTCGAGATTCATGGTGGCAGCTTTTAGAGGGCTCGATCAGTGAATGGACCATCGATGATGATGATGATGATGAATGTATTTTAATATATTATTTATAACTAACCACGGTGCTAAAGCAATATTGAACAGCTTAGTACTTTGCAAGAGGGCCTTTGTACATTTCAAGTAAGATTACTCACAGATAAATATTTACTACACTTTCAAGCTTATCGCTATCACAGTGGCCTTTGCTGACACCATTTTTTTTAAAATAAACTTTTCCAATGTTAAATGTTGCCACTATTATTTGTAACAGTCACGAAAGTGATCGTGTTCTACATTGATGTCCCCTTTGCCGTACTCATGTCTGACGAGTGCACGATATAAACTGCAATCACCTTCAAGTTGACACAACTCAGAGATAGCGTAATTACTCAAAACCTCTGCTTTATATTTACTATGAATTGTCTGGCTTACGTAGACAAGACGCAGACATATACACATAGACAAACATACATATACAAAGACACAGATACATACACACAAATACATATATGTGTATCCGTGTCTGCTGACATGCCGGTGCAATAATCGCCATCGTTCCACGTTGATATTTCAATTTTACTAAATTTGACAATGCACGGTTTTTAAAACAATAATTTGCCCGAGCCAACTTTCGTGACAGAATATTTATCTTATTCTTAGCTCTTTCGGTAAAGTCACGTTGAAGAGCTAAGAATATGAATTACTGCAGTCACGAAAGCTTTAAATCAAAATAATATTTATCGTATTCGATTGCTTGTGTCACGTGGTCGTTTTTACTTCTTCAGAATCAACACCACGCGTTGAGAGTTGTTTGGCTGCTGTAGATGCCCACGTGATGATAAGAGCCACTTCGATCATTTGTGATCGCCACGTCTCTTCTATAAAAGAGCGTGGTGGTTAAACACGAAATGAACTTGAGAAATGAACTGACGTGGATTGTAACTTAAAGCCAAGTGCAGTGATCAATATTGTTTTTGACACCACGCGTTCGTCAAGAACAGCACTGTGGTCTTAAAATAAAATAATATATAAGAGGCGACGTTTCGGGCAGTGGTCCCTCTTCATAGCCACATAAAACTCGTTGGTTTGGGGTTCGGCCACGTAGAAAGTAGTTTTGTGCCAAGCTAATAAAGTCGTTAACCCTCCACCACCCCCAATAGATCGTCACGCGTGTACAGCGACATTATTTACCACGTGGCCAACCTATTGATTGTGGACAATGAACCCACTGCGTGGTCCAGCCCCCATAAATAAATAACGGATCGAGATTCGTGTTGCGCGCGTTAACTCTCACCGCTTCTCTCCCTCCCTCCCTCTCTCTCTCTCTCCCTGTCTCTCCCCCTCGATCCACCCTCAGCCAGCGAGGAAAAGAGTCGAGTCCGATCTGGTCCAGCTGAAGCTCCGATAAGCCCCCCGCACCTCCTCGTCCGCCGTCTAGCCAGCAGCCATGCCGTACAAGGGCGAGTGCGGGGAAAATGACGACCCCATGCTCTTCCTGCAGCCGACTCAGGCGGAGCGCATCGCCTCCTCGAGCCGCCCCTTCGACATCAAGACGAGCGTGTGGGTGAAGCATGACGAGGAGGGCTTCATCCAGGGCACCATCCAGGAGGAGAAGGGCGACAAGGTCGTGGTGCTCTGCGCCGACGGCAAGGTGAGAGAGGGAGAGAGGGAGGGAGGGAGCCGTTCGCTGCCCTACGGTAGCGACCCCCCCCCCACCCCCCCATGGACGATGCTAGTGACGGAATGGCAGCCAGAGGAGGGAGTGGGGAGTGGTGGGGACTGGAGGCGAAGTCGCCGAGCGAGGCCTTCATCCAGCAGTGGATAGACAATGGACTGTTGTGCGATGATCATTAATCGTGGACGTGGATTATACATCGTGTGAATTGTAACGCGGGGTGGCCACGAGGAGCGATGACGTCAAGCTGGGCTTTGTGACGTCGCCTCAAACTCATTCGCTGCGTCCCAGATGCATTCATTCAACAGGACGCCGAGTGCACAATTGTTTATCCTGCTTAGCACCGCAGGCCTTCGCGACCAATGTTATCCTTATTCGAGCTTCAAATCCTCTTCGCGACTTGGCCGCTAAAGATTTGTTTGGAATTACGTACAAATACAGTACACACACGCACACACGGAAAAAAAACCTCACGTGAAAAAACAGTAGTTTTGTAACGGCTCTGAGAATCAAAGTAGAGTTTCGGCTCGGCTGCCGTGCGACGAATGCGGGCGGAAAGCGTCGCCCTCTACCACGCGAACCATTGGCCGCTCGAAGGAATCTCGGAGGTAGCTCTCAAGTATCCACTTCCGCGCGCCGTGCCGTTCTTGAACGCGTGGCCTGGCAGTGCTCTGCGGGAGATCCGAATGAGCCCTCTGCCTCGTGACGCCGAGATACAATGGGGGGGGGGGGGGGGGGGGGGGGGGGGGGTTGATGACACCTCCGATTGGCGCGGTTGGCTACGTACGGTGCGAACGACGTTGAACATACACACGTACAAAACATGCACTTCAATAAAGTATAACATATATATATACAGGGTGCTTCAAAAAATGTTCACACTTATATGGGACTATCGTTTTTAATGGGAAAAGAACGGGTAATACACTGTAAGATGATAACAAATGTAATGTTAATAGCTCCAGAAAGTCAAAGAGTCTCCACTTGTTCGCCATCATTGGTCAACACGTGGCCTGGAAGCTTCTCCAGGTGTCCTCCAAAGCCCCGAGGCAGCAGCACATTTCTCGTGCCATCGTTGCAAATTCTCAAAAGTGTTAAAAATATTTTATTTTTTTATCTGTACATTAAAAAAAACAACACCCATAGCGAGTGGGTCCGGAACGGAGGCTGACGGTTGCCCGGTGCGCGGTTCTCGCCCTGTGCCTGTGGCTGCAGACGGTGACCGTGAAGAAGGAGCAGGCCGACCAGCAGAACCCACCCAAGTATGACCAGGCGGACGACATGGCCAACCTGACCTTCCTCAACGAGGCCAGCATCCTCGACAACTTGCGTCAGCGCTACGTCAACATGCGCATCTACGTAGGTCCAGCGACTGACGCCCTGCCTCCTGGGTTCTCTCCAGTTTATCACGACTAAAAGACACACACACATACACAAAAAATACACCAGGCGATGTTTTTGTAGCCTGCTATTGGCCAAGCGTCCCTATACTTTACATCACATCTCAGCCCAACCGAACCATTACAATGGCACCATCAGTAAAAACAAAAAATACACCAGACGATGTTTTTGTAGCCTGCTATTGGCCAAGCGTCCCTATACTTTACATCACGTTTCAGCCCAACCGAACCATTACAATGGCACCATCCCACCACCCACCCTGCCCCCACCGCCACCACCGCAGGCTCCCCCAGTGGCAGCTGTCCCCGTGCGGCAGCGGCACGTGAGCGCACATCAAGGGGACGGCGTTCGCCTCGTGTCGGGCGTGCGTGCGTGCGTGCGCGTGCGTGCGCGCGTGCGTGCGTGCGCGTGCGTGCGCGTGCGTGCTATGGTCGCCGCGTGTCAATCTTCGCGCGTGCGTTGTCTCCCTGCAGACCTACTCGGGGCTGTTCTGCGTGACCGTCAATCCGTACCGCTGGCTGCCCATCTACGGCACCAAGGTGGCGCTCATGTACCGTGGCAAGAAGCGCAACGAGCTGCCCCCCCATCTCTTCTCCATCTCCGACAACGCCTACGCTGACATGATCATGAGTGCGTATCTCGACACAAGCGCCCACCAAAGCGCCCGCCTCTATTCCAACATGTGTCCCCTCCTCCCCCAATGGAAGTCTGTTTTGTTAGCGCCTCTCATCAGCCACACACAGCTCTGGGAGTTATTTCAGCAGCGATCCTCGCGACCGGCTTCGACGTTTTCGGGTCTCGTCGGCCGAGTGAGGCTCGCTTAAGGCAGTCGCTGATTCTTGACAAGGACCCTCCGCCTCTCTCTCTCCCTCTCTCTGTCTTAGACACGGGTCCTAGTTCGACGCAACGCATAACATCAAACTGAACACATTCTTCAACAACACTGTGGCCGTGAAATTTTTTTTTTTAAAGTTTATAATTGGCGACGTTTCGGGCGATGGCCATTTTTCACAGCACACAGAGATGTGGAGTGTGTGTTTCGGGTTGTGTTATTATGATAACGATGCGCACATTATTCCACTGTACTTTATACAATGTACATCATAATAATAATACAATTAATGAATTATTCACGTGAATCTTGCGTATAATTCTCATTGCTTTGTTTCTCGCAGACAAGAAGAATCAGTCGATGCTCATCACGTGAGTACTGCTTCTCACTGAGTACTGCTTCTTACAGAGTACTGCGGTGATATTTGACTTGGGATCGCAGTGGTGTGACAACGGGAATAGAGCACTCACACTCGGTCATTCGCACGGAGCTCATCAGCTCTTTACAGCCCACCTTAGCCAGTGGTGGAAATTCCACATTCCCATTGGTGTACGTATGTACGTTGAACTTCTTCCGCGCCGTACCTAGCCAACCGCGCTAATCGGAGGTGCGGGGGAAGGACAACAATACTCTGGACTTCCCCACAAAGTGGTAGCAATTTTATCGACCATAAAAGATGATTGGCTGAATCAACCCCCCCCCCCCCCACACCAACCAGGATGTGAACTCGTCACTTCTACCGCTGAGTCACCAAGGCCGGCGAAAGCTGCTAACGATTTACATCGCATCGCGACGGTGTTTTGTATTGCAACCCATCATCCCTCCTGGGTCGATTAAAGGTATCGCCACTTTGTGGGCAAGTCAACACTGGTCGATCCCAAGGATGGACAGACTCGATGCACTCCACAGGAATGTGGAATTTCCACCACCGTAAGCAGCACTGAATAGTGATGCGAATTCATCCTCGAGATTGTTCTGTACATCTCAGTGCTGCCACTCTTTCACTCATTTAACTTCACGTCCTCTCACCCCCTCCTCCTAACCCCCTCCCAGCGGAGAATCCGGGGCTGGTAAGACTGAGAACACCAAGAAGGTGATCCAGTACTTCGCAAACATCAGTGGCGGTGCGAAGCAACCCGGCCAAGATCAGAGCAAGGTGAGGATAACGTAACTAACAACAACAATAATAATAATACACGCCTTGCGTGTGGCCAGCCCCACTCAGAATCTCTCCCCTCTCACCACCCTCTCGTCCCTGACACCTTGGCCCCGTCATTCTCGCTCCTCCCTTCTCTCCCGTCTCTTTTCTCTCCCCTCTCACCACCCTCTCGTCCCTGACATCTTGGCCCCGTCATTCTCACTCCTCCCTTCTCTCCCGACTCTTTTCTCTCCCCTCTCACCACCCTCTCGTCCCTGACATCTTGGCCCCGCCATTCTCACTCCTCCCTTCTCTCCCGACTCTTTTCTCTCCCCTCTCACCACCCTCTCGTCCCTGACATCTTGGCCCCGCCATTCTCACTCCTCCCTTCTCTCCCGACTCTTTTCTCTCCCCTCTCACCACCCTCTCGTCCCTGACATCTTGGCCCCGCCATTCTCACTCCTCCCTTCTCTCCCGACTCTTTTCTCTCCCCTCTCACCACCCTCTCGTCCCTGACATCTTGGCCCCGCCATTCTCACTCCTCCCTTCTCTCCCGACTCTTTTCTCTCCCCTCTCACCACCCTCTCGTCCCTGACATCTTGGCCCCGCCATTCTCACTCCTCCCTTCTCTCCCGACTCTTTTCTCTCCCCTCTCACCACCCTCTCGTCCCTGACATCTTGGCCCCGTCATTCTCACTCCTCCCTTCTCTCCCGACTCTTTTCTCTCCCCTCTCACCACCCTCTCGTCCCTGACATCTTGGCCCCGCCATTCTCACTCCTCCCTTCTCTCCCGACTCTTTTCTCTCCCCTCTCACCACCCTCTCGTCCCTGACATCTTGGCCCCGTCATTCTCACTCCTCCCTTCTCTCCCGACTCTTTTCTCTCCCCTCTCACCACCCTCTCGTCCCTGACATCTTGGCCCCGCCATTCTCACTCCTCCCTTCTCTCCCGACTCTTTTCTCTCCCCTCTCACCACCCTCTCGTCCCTGACACCTTGGCCCCGTCATTCTCGCTCCTCCCTTCTCTCCCGTCTCTTTTCTCTCCCCTCTCACCACCCTCTCGTCCCTGACATCTTGGCCCCGTCATTCTCACTCCTCCCTTCTCTCCCGACTCTTTTCTCTCCCCTCTCACCACCCTCTCGTCCCTGACATCTTGGCCCCGCCATTCTCACTCCTCCCTTCTCTCCCGACTCTTTTCTCTCCCCTCTCACCACCCTCTCGTCCCTGACATCTTGGCCCCGCCATTCTCACTCCTCCCTTCTCTCCCGACTCTTTCTCTCCCCTCTCACCACCCTCTCGTCCCTGACATCTTGGCCCCGCCATTCTCACTCCTCCCTTCTCTCCCGACTCTTTTCTCTCCCCTCTCACCACCCTCTCGTCCCTGACATCTTGGCCCCGCCATTCTCACTCCTCCCTTCTCTCCCGACTCTTTTCACTCCCCTCTCACCACCCTCTCGTCCCTGACATCTTGGCCCCGCCATTCTCACTCCTCCCTTCTCTCCCGACTCTTTTCTCTCCCCTCTCACCACCCTCTCGTCCCTGACATCTTGGCCCCGTCATTCTCACTCCTCCCTTCTCTCCCGACTCTTTTCTCTCCCCTCTCACCACCCTCTCGTCCCTGACATCTTGGCCCCGCCATTCTCACTCCTCCCTTCTCTCCCGACTCTTTTCTCTCCCCTCTCACCACCCTCTCGTCCCTGACATCTTGGCCCCGTCATTCTCACTCCTCCCTTCTCTCCCGACTCTTTTCTCTCCCCTCTCACCACCCTCTCGTCCCTGACATCTTGGCCCCGCCATTCTCACTCCTCCCTTCTCTCCCGACTCTTTTCTCTCCCCTCTCACCACCCTCTCGTCCCTGACATCTTGGCCCCGCCATTCTCTCTCTTCGCGCTGCTCCTCTTGAGCTGTGGCGCTGCCCTTTGTCCGTTCCGGCTTTCCCTCCTTCCCTTTCCCGGTCACCTTTAGCCCCCCTCTGCCCTGTTGCATAACTGGCTCGGCTCCGCGTCTTTGTGGACTCGAAGCGGCCGCCCGGGGTGCCTTGTGATGAGCGAGGGTGGCCGTTGACTCGGGGTCCTGTCGCCGAGACTCAGGAGGGGTCCTGCCTTGTTGCGTGTGCCGCGAGCAGGGCTCCCTGGAGGATCAAATCGTCCAGACCAACCCTGTGCTGGAGGCCTTTGGAAACGCCAAAACAACCAGGAACAACAATTCCTCTCGTTTCGTAAGCGCCTTTTCGAAGTCAAAACACACGGCACAATCGGTCGATGTGGCGCATCATCAGCGCCATCGGCCGAGATCGATCCACTCCTGCATGTTAGGCTTCGCCACGCCATCGTCATCTCTCACGAGCCTGAGATGCAATGATTCACCGAGCACCGCCTTCTCACGACTTTATTTCATCGCTCCATCTCCCCGGTGGCGGTACCTTCCTTGCTGGTGGCTGCCACTCCGTCATTATTCTCCGCCGTCGTCCCTAGGAGCGGAAAGTGACGCGTTCTGACACAAATCATCCCACGTAATATGTCACGCTCGAAATATGTCACGCTCGGAGCGTGTCAATAACCCGCGCATGCTCTCCAAATCCACGCAGAGATACACCCCGACTGAAATGATCGGGATACGTGACCACACGCGTGCTCGTCCTCACGTCACAGCGAGTGTTTGTCGATGTCACTGTCGTCTGAGCGGACGCTCTGAGCACGTGAACGATGCAGCACGCGCGTGTGTGTGTGTGCATAGGTGCTGCTCGCTAACAACACTTGCCCCAACAGTCTATTAAGGCTATACGGGGGGGTCTTTGTTTTTTGTACGGGGCACGGGCGCGATGGTCAGAATTGACGCGTTGTTTTTGTGCATGACTCCTCCTACTCCTCCGAACAGGGTAAATTCATCCGCATCCACTTCATGACAAACGGGAAGCTGTCCGGTGCAGATATTGAAACTTGTAAGTGAGCACTTTGTTTTTTGAACAACAACAACATTTGCACGGCAACAATTCAGCGCGTTGCACGCGTCAGTTGAACATCTTTTGAACGAGCGTGCCGTGTGGCGAGTTCGTCAGTGCGGCCCTGCACATGGGAACGGTGGTGCTGTGGCTAAAGCGCAAACTTTGTCTTTGTGTGCGCACGTGAACAGATCTGTTGGAGAAGTCCCGTGTCATCTCTCAGCAGCCGGCCGAGAGAAGCTACCACATCTTCTACCAGATGCTGTCGGGAAGAATTCCCTCACTTCTGGGTACGTTCTTGTCCACGTGTCCAAAGTCAAAGCCGCTGCACGCGGATCACTCAACATCAGCTTCGTAAAACCACAGCCATAGGCGGGATTTTAACTCAGGTGGTCAGCTCCAGAGGATCTGCTCCGGGACCTTTAATCAATGGGTTCCGCAACAGCTGGGTTCAAATCAGTGTGGACACTCGCTCCTCTCCCAAGACGTTTTCAATCCGGTATCTAAATGTGTCGCTGTGTTGCTCGAAGGGTGCGTTGGCTGCCAGGACTTCTGGCTCACCTGTAGATCATCTCGAGTGAAAACGCAATGCTTTCGAACTGCTTTTCGTGTTTAGTTTGTTGTCCTTCCCCCGCACCTCCGATTGGCCACGGTTGGCTACATACGGCGTGAAACAAGTGCGACATACGTACGGCTCACGGCTTGGACGATGTTTGCTCCCCCCCCAGACCAACTGCAGTTGACCCCTGACCCCAAGGACTACTTCTGGATCTCGCAGGGAGTGACCACCGTGGAAAACATGGACGACGGGGAAGAAATGGGTGCCACTGACGTAAGGCTACCACCCAGCTGACCACTCTCCATTGCAGTGGAGAGTGGTGGCTAGGAGATGTTAACTACCTCGCCTGGTATACAGGAGGTCGTGGGTTCGATCCCGATCCTGACGCCTGCTGCTGTATATTTGGAGTTGCGTCTCTCTCTCATTATTATCACGGTGGCTCGCAGATGTTAACTACCTCGCCTGGTATGCAGGAGGTCGTGGGTTCGATCCCGATCCTGACGCCTGCTGCTGTTTATTTGGAGTTTGGCGTGTCTCTCTCCCCGTGGTCACGTGGATTTTTCTCCGCGTCCTTTGGGGTTTCCCTCCACATTTAGAATCAACGTCACGCGTGTAGAGTTTTTTGACTGCTGCTATCAATGTCCACGTGATAAGCCCATTCAGTTGAGCTAACATTTGTGGCCAGGTGGCTTCTGAAAAAGAGCTCTACAGCTCAGTGGGCCTTACCTGCTAATATAACATTTAAAAATATATTTTTTCCAATCAAATGAAAGTGGAGGCGCTGCTCATCTCCCGTTTGCAGCTCTGAGGCAGTGTCGGTACATTTCCACATTCCTATGGCGAGGACCAGTCCACAGCGAGAGCACAACCACTGTTCAATTCCTCATGAAGCACAAAGTGGCACTCAATTTATCCGCCCGGGAGGGATGATGGGCCGTTTCAACACCCACCACGCAGGGTAAATTTAAATAGTTCTTCTGAAAACTTTTCAATCGATCACGTTACTTTAAATCTATCCAAAATAACTGTGGGCGGTAGGGTGGTGGCAGAGTGATAACACTTGTGCCACACAGCAAAAAGGACCTGGGTTCAATTCCCGACTCGGGCGCTTTCCTGTGCCGGAGTTTGTACGTTCTCGCCCTTGTTATTCATGGGTGTTTCTCTCCTGGTTGTCTCGAAATGGGCAAAACATCACGATGCCGAAATTGCCCCCTGCAAAACCACTCACTTGGGATCACAGGCAGAGACAGCAGTAGGCAGCAGCAACATCGCCTGCTCTGCAGCAAACGCTTGGCAGGACCCTCCCGAGCAAGTGCATTGAGACTCAGAAAGTCTTTCCTGGGCAAACAACCACAATGGCAAACGCGTAGATTAAAACCCCACGAGATTGAAAACTCATTTGGTTTAGAACTGATTTTTGTGTTTAGTTTGTTGTCTCTTCCCCCGCACCTCCGATTGATTACCACGGTTGGCGACGTACGGTGCGAAAGAAACAAACAAACATACATACCTGCCATAGAAATCATGCCAAAGATAATAATAATAATAACAGCAACATGCAAATGTAAGTGGAGGAAAGGGGGCACGCCGGGAGGGAGCGGGCACGTGCTCAGTGTGGCCCCGCGTGCCTCTCGTGACCGCAGGAGGCCTTCGACATCCTGGGCTTCACGGCCAGCGAGAAGAGCAACGTCTTCCACCTGGTGGGAGGCATCATGCACTTCGGAAACATGAAGTTCAAGCAGAAACCACGAGAGGAGCAGGCTGAGGTGGAGACCACCGATGGTGAGCGCGGCCTTCCTCCTCCTCCTCTTTGTTGTTGTTTCAGAAAAAGTGACGAAAAAAATCGGCGGGTTGTTTTTTTAAAATATTTCAGTGAACGATTTAACCGCGCGCCTACGTCACTCACAAAAACCACATCGCAAGAACGGCCCCCACCCCGGCCCCGTTACGGACAGACTCATGCCCACCAGCATGCCCGTGCTGCGTCCTGCGCCTTGTACCACGCAGGGACAGCTGCCACCGGAGGTCCCCTTGGCTGGACTACTTATTTGTTTGAGTAACAACTCGCAACCCACTCAAAAAGAGGGCGTCGCAATACTTTGCAGCAATACGAATTAAACGGAGGTAGCCCTACCTCGACAATCAAGGACACGTAAATACAAATGAATGCAGGGCACACTCAAGGAAAAAAATCTAAAAGGCGAAAATTAGTCTTGCAGAGTTGATTATTGTTATTATCCGCTGTAATGACGACAACAACAACAACAACCGTTCCAATGCAACGTGAGCTGCGATGTGATGCGCTTCGAGGTGCCATTTGGAGCAAACGCCACGCAGGGAACCCCTTCGCCCCGCACTCTGCACACGCACGCCGTCGCCACTTTGCTCACTGCGGCTGCTGTTGCTGCTGCTGTTGCTGCTGCTGTTGCTGCTGTTGTTGTGGCGAACCGCAGTGGCCGACAAGGTGGCCAAACTCCTGGGCATCGACTCGGCCGAGCTGCAGAAGGGCCTCACTCGCCCGCGCGTCAAGGTCGGGAACGAGTTCGTGGTGAAGGGGCAGAACATCGTGCAGGTGAGCCACGCTCGCTCACTCACTCGCTCACTCCACCCACCCACTCACTCCACCCACCCACTCCACCTGCTCGCGCCACCCACTCCACCCACTCTGCCTGCTCGCTCCACCCACCCACCCACCCACTCCACCTGCTCGCTCCACCCACTCCACCCACTCCGCCTGCTCGCTCCACCCACCCACTCGCTCCACTCGCTCGCTCCACCCACTCCACCCACTCCGCCTGCTCGCGCCACCCACTCCACCCACTCCGCCTGCTCGCTCCACCCACCCACTCGCTCCACTTGCTCGCTCCACCCACTCCACCCACTCCACCCACCCACTCCGCCTGCTCGCTCCACCCACCCACTCACTCCACCCACCCACTCAACCTACTCGCTCCACCCACTCCACCCACTCCGCCTGCTCGCTCCACCCACCCACTCCGCCTGCTCGCTCCACCCACTCCACCCACCCATTCCACCCACCCACTCCACCCACTCCTTCTGTTCACCTCCTGCTCGCTCCTGCCACGTGATGTCTGTGTGGGTCACGGCTGCGTTCCCCAGCTCGCTATTTTGTTCCGTCACTCTGCTCGAGGCTGCCTCGGGGTAGAGACTTATCGGCGTAAGGCACTGCCACTAGAGTACAAAGGTGTGCCCGTTGCACAATAATCACACATAATTCTGAGAATAAGAATAAGATTGAATGTCACACGTGCGTCTTCACAGCCAGTGTTGTGACGATTTGGCCAAACGTCTTTTGTCATTCAAGGTCCTCCACTAAAATTAACCCCCAAAAATATTCGACACGTTCATCGCTAACACGGTGCGAAGTTAAAATGAAAAAGAGTGATAAAAGGCGACGTTCAGGGCGATTGCCCTTGTTCATGGCACATAGACAGATGGTTCAGAGAGGTAGGGTGGATTCTAAGAGTTGGAAACCACGCTTGTGTTGACACCGTTGACGGTGCCCGATGAGAACGCAACACTTTCTTAAGAAAGAAAGCGTGTCTGATGACAATGAGTTATTAAATAGGCGTAAAAATAGTTACCCTAACGGTGGCGATCGCGAAGCCAGACAACAACAACAACAAACCCCTTCCTCCACGCTGAGTCCACGGGAGCCCTGCTGATCGTGGCGCTCACTGTGCCCACTGACCGTGCCCACGTGTGCCCACTGATCGTGCCAACTGACCGTGCCCGCGTGTGTCCACTGCCCGTGCCTACTGATCGTGCCAACACGTGCCCACTGAACGTGCCCACTGACCGTGCCAACTTACCATGCCCGCGTGTGCCCACTGACCGTGCCCACGTTTGCCCACTGACCGTGCCCACTGACCGTGCCCACGTGTGCCCCCTGACCGTGCCCACTGACCGTGCCCGCGTGTGCCCGCTTCCCTGCCTGCCCAGTGTGCCTCCAGCTCAGGTGCCCTGGCCAAAGCCATTTACGACAAAATGTTCAAGTGGCTCGTCATCCGCGTGAACATCACGCTCGACACCAAGCTGCCACGCCAGTTCTTCATCGGCGTCCTGGACATCGCTGGCTTCGAGATCTTCGAGGTAACGCTGCGGGTCCCTTGTCCCGCGGCGTCGCGGTGTTCCTTACGCTTGCCACCGGCGATACGTACGGCGCAGCAATTTCTTAGTACCGTGCATTCGTGAGCAACAACTCCGGTATTTTGTCCGAGTGTGCCCGGCCCCGCTGATGAGCCCCCCCCAGAAGGACGGAAACCAGTCCCCGATTTGCGCGTTTGCCGCGGAATGTGAATGCACACGCAGAGGTCAGGAACGCGTTGTTAACGGGTCGTGGAGTTGCGACGGCCCACTGAGTGCCGCCCTGGGCGTGGGCGGGCGATGATGGATCTGGCCGGACCCGCGACGTTTGTACTCTGCCAGGCACCGCGCCGGACGAGACCGACAGCTCCGATAGCGACGAGCGAGTCCGCAGATGCGTGGCCGTGCATCCGCGCGCCGCACAGCGACCACACGGCTCACCGCCCCTCTCCCCTCCCTCCCCTCCCTCCCCACCTCCAAACCGACCGCGCAGTTCAACTCCTTCGAGCAGCTGTGCATCAACTTCACCAACGAGAAGCTGCAGCAGTTCTTCAACCACCACATGTTCGTGCTGGAGCAAGAGGAGTACAAGAAGGAGGGCATCAACTGGGTCTTCATCGACTTCGGTCTCGACCTGGCTGCCTGCATTGACCTCCTGGAGAAGGTATCACACCACACGGGCCCCTGCTGCTCAGGACTTTGAGATACTCGTGGACAGTGGCACGCTTGTTGTGGGAGGAGGCGGCCGTGGGTTGAGTTTGTTTTCACTGACCTGTCTGCAAGGCCTATTGTGGGGCGCCACATTTAATCACCACCCTGACTGGCGCCTGCTACTGCTGTATATTTGGAGTTTGCTTGTCTCTCTCTCCGTGGTCTCGTGGATTTTTCGCCGGGTCCTCTGCATTAACCACAATACTTGCAGTCAAATACAAACAAAAAACACACTATGATAATATATGCATTGTCCTTGAAACTGATTGGTCCACACCAATGCATATATTATCAGTGTATTTTTGTTTGCATTTGACTGCAAGTATTGTGGTTAATGCAGACATGAATCCTTGTAAAAAGGTTTCAGTTTTGTTGCCAGAAAAAAGGGGGAAAACCCTATTATTATAATTTGGTACTGGCAAAGGAGGTCTAATGAGGTAAATATTAGATTACGTGAATTTTCTCGAGTACAATTTGTCTCGGATGAATTTACTCTCAATTGTCGTTCACGATAAAAAAATGTAACGATACAAAACGGTAAAACGACACATAGCAGAGCCGAGATGCAGGGTTACGCTGTGGCCATCTGTGATTTAATAAAAAGAGCTTCGTAGCTCATCGGATTCCTCCAGTCTAAGTAAAGATGCGGATTCTGTGGACCGATTGGCAGAGACTGACAGGTAGATTGGAAAATTATCATTCTTCTTTATCCGCCTGCACCCCGTCCTCTCCACGTCGCCCCAACTCACCGTCTCTCTGTCTCTCTGTCTCTGTGTCTCTACTCATTCCCGCGCAGCCCATGGGCATCTTCTCCATCATGGAGGAGCAGTGCGTGTTCCCCAAGGCCACGGACGAGACCTTCAAGGCGGCGCTCTACGACAACCACCTGGGCAAGTCGCCCTGCTTCCAGAAGCCACGCGTGGGTGGCAAGAAGGGAGCCAGCGAGGTCACATTCGAGCTGGCGCACTACGCCGGCCTGGTGAGGTTCACCACGGCCCCCTGCAGCCTCGCACCGCCAAACCCATCGCAACTCCCCGGCCATGCGTGCGGCGTCATACATACATAGAGACCCATAGACTCACCACACACACAGACCCATAGACTGGCGTAGAGAGCCATAGAGATCCACAGAGACGACCCACCACACACACGTGCGCGTGCCCCCTACCCACCCCCAGGTGGGCTACAGCACCGCGAGCTGGCTGGAGAAGAACAAGGACCCCCTCAACGAGACCGTGGTGCAGATCTTCCAGAAAGCCAAGCGCGAGGTGTTGGCCACCATCTTCAAAGAGGAGGAGGCCATCGGTAGGACCCCCCCCCCCCTGCAAAGCTACACGAAGATCTATTCGTGAGAATAGGTTTAACCCTGTCTGGCAATAAAACAGTTGTGTTAAGATATTAAAACACCAAACTGAAACCTTTTTCAAGGAATCATATACTGCATTAACCACATATACTTGTGGTGAACATGCAACAAAAACCCCATGCTCTGGTAGTATAAGGTGATGATGCATTGCTCTTTGAAACTGATTGGTCCACACCAGAGACGGCTTTCTTTTGAGCCAAGTCTCACGAACAGCGTTAGACCAGAGGACAACGCCACAAGGCGACCAGCACCATGACAATGCCACTGTCAGGACATTGCGAGCTCGGGGGCTTAAGCAGCTACATCATGTTGGCACGATCACAACAAAGATCTATTTACCACCGTGACAGCCACACAACGAGGCCTCGTTTCAGTATTTATGTACGCGTTGTTTGCATTCGCTCGCCCAATTAAATGTCACAATTGTTTTCGTTATTGTAGCTGGAGCCAAGCAGAAGCAGAAGAAAGGAGCTTCCTTCCAGACCGTGTCTGCGTTGTACAGGGTGAGTCAACCACCTCGCCTGCTATACAGGAGGTTGTGGGTTCGATCCCAACCCTGACGCCTGTACACTGTATTTGGAGTTTGCGTGTCTCTTTCCATGGTCGCGTGGATATTTCCCCAGGCCCTCCGGGTTTTCCCGCCACATTTAGAATCAGCATTTGGCCGCTGCTGTAAATGTCCGCTTTGATATTCCACTTATTTTGTGACCAGGTCACTTTTTGTGTCCAGGTCACTTCTGCAAAGAGAGCTACACAGCTCAGTGAGCCTTATCTGGTAGCTGAGCTACGAACCATTGCGAACCGAGTTCGATTCCGGCTCACGGCCAACACCGGGGACGATCATCTGCACCGGTCCTGGGCCATCCCCTATCATAGGTCGACTCAGCCTCAAATGAGTACCTGCTGCGCTCTGTAAACATCGCCACCAGAGGGAGGGAGACAAAGGCGTCCCGGCCCGGGCGTGGTTCCGGCCACCCCACCCCCATCGCGTGCCGTGTCGGCCTTCATAGTTGACGCTCGCAATCAGCAATTGCCCCAGCAGCGTGTTAAGGCTACACGGGGGGGGGGGGTGGTTCTTTGTCTTTTTTCTTGTGAACAGGAACAACTGGGCAAGCTGATGGCGACCCTGCACAGCACATCGCCGCACTTCGTGCGCTGCATTGTTCCCAACGAGTGCAAGAAGAGCGGTGAGCAAAAGTGGCAGTGGCAGTCGTCGCTAGCCCCACGCTGCAGCGATTCGATAATATCCGGCGGGCTGCCCTGGACAATGCTGCGCGGCGTATCGCGCCGTACAAATATTGCACCAGGCGTCGGCGCAGAGCGCTGCGTTTCCGGAAGGAACCAACGACAATTGTGCTTGGAGGGTCGGTGTCTCCGTAGTTTGCGTAGTTCGCAAGCGGCGCGCCCGTCACGCCCTGGATCTCGCAAACCTGCGTACGATCCGTGTGAAACGTTTGAAAAGATTGCCTTGTTATAATTGCGTTCAATGAGCGAGCTGACACGGCCCATTGACGATGTGGTTTTACGAGTCAACTCTGCCGTCCGCTGCCCTCTTGTGCTCAGGCTCAGTTGGTTTGGGCCATCTCTTGGGGAGGGAGGGGGGTACCTACAGATCGGACTCTGAAGATCCCGTGACAATGGATGTCCTTCAAAGAGGAGCAGGCCGCTGTGTGCGGGTGTCACGGTCCGGATGTGACCGGCCAATGACCACCCTGGCCCAGTGGTGGAGCGCGCAGGCCGGATTCGGAGGGTTGCGAGTTCAAATTGAGGGGTCGATAAAACGACGACCGCACTGTGGAGAAGTCAACGATGTTTGTGCTATGGGGAATGACTCGCCCCCGCCATGTGAACATGGACATTGTCACCATTTTTGTGTGTTAGCTTGTTATCCTTCCCCGATCACCATGGTTGGGTACATACGGTGTAAAAGAGGTTCAACATACATACATAGAGACCCATAGACTCACCACATAGAGACCCATGGACTTACCACACAGAGACCCATAGACTCACCACACAGAGACCCATAGACTCACCACACAGAGCCCATAGACTCATCACACAGTGACCCATAGACTCATCACACAGAGACCCCATAGTCTCACCACACAGAGACCCATAGACTCACCACACAGAGACCCATAGACTCACCACACAGAGACCCATAGACTCACCACACAGAGCCCATCGACTCATCACACAGAGACCCATCACACAGAGCCCATAGACTCATCACACAGAGACCCATAGACTCACCACACAGAGACCCCATAGTCTCACCACACAGAGACCCATAGACTCACCACACAGAGACCCATAGACTCACCACACATAGACCCATAGACTCACCACACAGAGCCCATCGACTCATCACACAGAGACCCATCACACAGAGACCCATAGACTCATCACACAGAGACCCATAGACTCACCACACAGAGACCCATAGACTCACCACACGGATACCCATAGACTGGCATAGATTTGATATTGCAAACTCGTGCGCGCGCGAGGGCCCTCGCCGTTAGCCGCGTGTCGTACACGGCGCGATCGGCGTGGAGTGGTGGCTTGACGAGGTGGCGGTCCCCTGCGGGTGAGCAGGTATGGTGGACGCGCACCTCATCCTGCACCAGCTGGCGTGTAACGGCGTGTTGGAGGGCATCCGAATCTGCCGCAAGGGCTTCCCCAATCGACAGGTGTACCCCGAGTTCATCCGCCGGTGAGTGGCGTCGGCCATGCGGGGGGTGAAGGGGGGGGGGGTACAGCAAGAAGGCCCCCACGCCTCACCAAGTCCCCCCTGCTGCTGCTGTGTATTTGGAGTTTGCGGTGTCTCTGCCTCTATGGCCGTGGTGGATTTTTCTCCTGGTCCCTCCGGTCCCCCCCCCCCCCCACATTTAGAATCAACATCACGCGTTTTGAGTATTTGGCTGCTTTAAATGTCCACGTGATAGGCCACTTCGTTGAGATTTCATTTGTGAGGGCCAGGTCGATTCTGAAAAAGAGCTATAGAGCTCAGAGGGCCTTACCTGGTAAAAATTCAAAATAGTTTATAGTTTACACTCCAAACAAATGGAATTTTGTCAAACATCCCCAAGAAGGAGCCCCGTCGAGAATGAATCTTGAGACTCGGCGAAGCTTCCGTGGTTAAAGAAATAAAGGGCTTCGTAATCAAAGCACACGTACTGCAGTACACAACAAAGACAAAGACCCTTCCCGTAGCGCAGGGCGTTAAGAGCTCCACCACCGCTCCCCAGTGCACACCACGCACCACCGCACCGCTTGACTTCTCCGCGTGGATGGGTATCCACGACCCGAGTTTGATTCCCAACCACGGCTAACATCAGTGGCGATTATTTGAACCGGTCGGTGGGGCCTTCCCGCGATCGCCTTAACTGAGCACCCGGTGGGATGTGCAAAAACAACAGCACTGGGAAGACAAAGACGGCCCCGCGCTTGGTGCTGGCACCACCTCCTTGTGCGCCACCGCCGCTCTTAATCGTTGCTCGCTAACGACACCCTTGCCCCAGCAGTCTGCGTAGGCTACACGGGGCATCTTCGTATTCACGTGCGCGTGTAAGGAATTATGGCAGGTGCAGGCTCCTTCCCAGTGGGTAGTGCCAGCACTCGCCCGTTCGCTCCGTGCCACGTCTTTGCCGCGGCCTTGATCGCCATTCCTCTCGGGTTCGCCCCTTTTGCGCGCGCACGCCCCCTCGCAGCTACCAGATCCTGGATCCCAACGTGTGCAAGGGCATCGACGATCCCAAGAAGCAGACGGAGCTCATCATCAAGTCGGTGAAGCTGCTTGAAGATGAATTCAGGATCGGCAACACCAAGGTGGGCATCGCGCGGGGACCAGCGGACTCGCTCGCACAGCGGAACCAGCTGACTGACTCGGACCGCGGAACCAGCTGACTGACTCGCACAGCGGAACCAGCTGACTGACTCGCACAGCGGAACCAGCTGACTGACTCGCACAGCGGAACTAGCTGACTGACTCGCACAGCGGAACCAGCTGACTGACTCGCACAGCGGAACCAGCTGACTGACTCGGACCGCGGAACCAGCTGACTGACTCGCACAGCGGAAGCAGCTGACTGACTCGGACCGCGGAACCAGCTGACTGACTCGGACCGCGGAACCAGCTGACTTTCCCGCCTCACCCGCTTCACCCCCAAAGCCAAGCAAAAACTTTCATAGCGATTATTTTGCCCATCGGATGAGCATCGAGGCACTAGCACGCATCTCCCATTTACAGCCCTAAGCCGCCAGTGCTGGACACTCCACGTTTCTATGGTGGGGGGGCGAGTATATCCATTAGACGACTGCTCTCGACTTTCCCGCAAAGTTGGTACTAATTTTATCAGCCCCACAGGGAGGGATGATGGGCTGAGTGAACTCTCAACCGAGATGTGAACTCGGGACCTTCCGATTGCGAGCCGCTCGATCAATGACTGGAACGAGCTTCCTCCTTGACATAACAGAGGATTCCAACCACCCTCAATATACAGGCGCAAAGAAAACGTGATTTAGAATGCGTTTGTCCCGTGGATAACAGTTATACTGTGCACATAGTTGTACAGTGGTCCAATTGTAGATGCAATCAATAAACTAAGCCGGGCAGGGGATGGCCACGCACGTAGCTGCCTCTAAGCCAGCGCTGTGGAGGCTGCAGCATGGGTTGTTGGATCACCGCACACGCACACACACAGATGTTGTTGTCAAACTCCCTTCCTGCGGACGTGAGAGGAGGTGCCGTAGCTTGGCTCTCAAGGAGAAGGCCGTAGCGGAAAGTGGATTAATCGCCATCTGTTCCCATCTGCACGGGGGATAGAGCGTTGGCCCCGTCGCACAAGGCGTGGGTTTGTATCCCCACGTGAATAATAATCACAAACACACCTCGCCATTAATTGGCCGAAAACTCCTTAATAGTATAAACCCAGCGTAGCGGCAGTGGCAGCGGGACCCTCCTGAGTACGAGAGCAAAAGCAAACGTGCGCTATGCAAACTCCACCTGAGCATGACCAGCGTCAGCGTGCACATGCCAGCCTGCTCTCATTCAGGACGACGATGACGATGCCGCCGCTTCCCCCTTCCACCCCGCCCAAGGTGTTCTTCCGCGCCGGAATCCTCGGTCGCCTGGAGGATTACCGCGACGACTGCATCACGCGCTTCATCATCCGCCTGCAGGCCGCGTGCCGCGGCAACACGTCCCGCCGCAACTTCGGCGCCATCCTCGCCAAGCGGTGCGGCGCCGCACAGATGGATTTGGTTTTTTTTACTCCGGAAAAAAACACTTTGGCCCGACGCGATTTTATCGCGAACGCGTGTTTAGGCTACACGCTAGAAATGGAGGCGGACTCGGCATAATTTAGTACCGTGCTTAGTAGCATAACAAGGGAGTTTATATGGGGGCACCGCGGTGGTGAGATGTTAACTACCTAGCCTGGTATACAGGAGGTCGTGGGTTCGATCCCGACCCAAACACCTGCTGTATATTTGGAGTTTGTGTGTCTGCCCGGAGTCGCCGGGATTTTTCTCCGGGTCCTCCAGGTATTTCCCTCCACATTTAGAAACGTACGTTTAGAGTATTATTTGACTGCTATAAATGTTCACGTGATTATAAGCCACTTGATCGGGCTATAATTTGTGGCCATGTCGCTTCGGCAAAGAGTTATATAATAGCTTAGTGCGCCTTACTTGGTAAAATAAAAATATTTTTTTTTACAGTTTTCTCGTGTAGAATTAGTTAAACAAAGAGGGAGGGGATGATCATTTCGGACCCAGGAACACAACCCGAATTTCCCCACTAGGTGAATTATTTGTCGAACGCGGTTATTGCCCAACGCATCATTTTCCAGGAACGCCGGCGCTTGGCTGATCGTGGCGTTAACTCTGAAGAATGAGGAGGCAACTTGGCTTTGGAATCTCACGATCCCTCGTGGGCCGCCCGTCTTTGGGCGAGTGATGTGGAGCGGCGCTCTGTGTGTGTGCGTGCGCGTCTGTGCACACGCGTGGTTCGTGTCTACGCAGGGATGCCATGGCGTGCATCCAGCGCAACATTCGCAGCTTCCTCACCCTGCGCTACTGGCCGTGGTTTAAGCTGTACACGAAGGTACGCCGCGCGACTCAGGGCGGTATGCAATTGCTTTCCTTCTCTGTACCGGGACAATGCGGGTGCCTCCTCACACATTCCACCGCCTTCTTAAAAAAAAAAAACTGGTCTTCAAAACCACGATGGAAACGTTAACCCACAGATTGCTTTTGCGGGTTGGCAGCGGGGTATCTCGCCCCGCCGCCATCTGGAGCACCATCGTTCCCTGTAGCGCATCCTAAGCGGCGTTCAGTCTACAGCAGGGGTGGGCAATCTGTGTCCCGTGGAGCCCCAACCTCATGGCGGCCTGGTCTCGGTGTCTTTCTGGTGATGCGGGCGGGGTCACGATTAGTGCACAAGCACCGATGTCAAGTGCCGCTGATGTGGCCCACTGACTTGTCTGGGTTGCCCACCACGTGTCTACAATGAGACACCCGGAGGCCCCACCTCTTTCTTAAGGGCCCACCACCTGTCTTTCGACTGACGCTTAGTTTGGCTCCATGCGCTCGGAGCCACAGTCTCTTACGTCCGTGATACAAATCCCATCATCGTCGTCATCATTATGATTATTGACTTCCGCTGGATGGGCAGCAGATCCTACACGAGCATTGACTGCCGGGGGAGAAGGGGTGGGGGGGGGGTGCAGGCGAGAACCGGTTCGGTGGCATGACGACGTGCGTGGCGTGTGTGGCGTGCGGCGCGCAGGTGAGGCCCCTGTGCGCCATGCTCAAGGAGGAGGAGGACCGGAAGAAGAAGGAGGAGGAGATGAAGAAGGCGATGGAGAACGCGGCTCGCACCGTCGAGGAGCTCAACGACCTCAAGGAGAAGCTGGCGAAGCTGGAGGCCGAGCGGGAGAAGCTGCTGAGTCAGCTGCAGAGCGTGAGGGCACCCTGCCGTCGAGCACCACCAAAACCCATCGCCCCAGATACGCTCGGTCGCCTAGTGACCGGGAGCCGCTCGGTCGCCTAGCAACCGGGAATCACTCAGTCGTCTAGCGACTGGGAATCACTCAGTCGTCGAGCGACTGGGAATCACTCGGTCGCCTAGCGACTGGCAGCCAAGCTCGTTACCGCCAATGGTGAGCGATTTCTGAAACCGGACCCGGGCCAGGCTCTTCACCAACTCGTAATGACAAATTGACAAATTGCATGGTAAAACAACCCAATGATGACTCAGATCAGTGAGGCCTTCATCCAGCAGTGGATTGACAAATTGGTTGTAAATGACTATTATGTTATATTATAATGAAGAGGCTTCGTTTACATACAAAGCTGGACCTTGCTTTGTCCCAGAGGATTTGACGTTTGATTTCTTGATGTCCAACGTGATTGACAAGGAGCTCAACTTTTTGTCTCTCTCTCACGTACATCACCATCCCTCCCTGACTCCGTCTATGTCTCCCTCTCCCTGCCTCCGTCTCCTTCCCTGTCTCCCTGCCTCCGTCTCCGCATCTCCGTCTCCACCGCGCTCGGGTCACTGCTGCAGGAGTCCGGGGGTAAGTCGGAGGCCCAGGACAAGGTGAACTTCCTGAGCCGCCAGGTGAAGGACCTCGAGAACAAGCTCGCTGACTCCACCCACCGGCTGGAGGACGAGGAGAAGTCCAACTCGGACCTGAGCACCAAGCGACGCAAGCTGGAGAACGAGTGCCAGGAGCTCAAGATCGCCATCGAGGGCCTGGAGGGCACCGTCACCAAGATGGAGAAGGAGAAGAAGGTGGGCACCTCCTCCTCCTTCCTCCACCTCCTCCACCTCCTCCAACTCCTCCACCTCCTCCACCTCCTCCACCTCCTTCTCCTCCTCCAACTCCTCCACCTCCTCCACCTCCTACACCTCCTTCTCCTCCTCCTTCTCCTCCACCTCCTCCTCCACCTCCTCCACCTCCTCCTCCACCTCCTCCACCTCCTTCTCCTCCTCCAACTCCTCCACCTCCTCCACCTCCTACACCTCCTTCTCCTCCTCCTCCTCCACCTCCTCCACCTCCTCCTTCTTCTCACCGCCGCTGGGAGTTTGCGGAAATTCAGCGCGGTCAGAGTGCAAGAGGGTTAGATTGCGTAAATGTCTAAATGTGTCGTTAAACCCGCCACCACCCGACACAGCCAACTAGTAAGGATTGTCACGTAAACAGAACGTGCCAATTCGTCACGAGTACAGCACACCGGTTGTGTGTTGGAGAGCCAAGCCACAACATTTACAATCTGAGTACAACGCTCCGCCAGTAATTACAACTAGCTTCAGGAGGGGGGGGGGCGTGGGTGGGGGGGGAGTAGGAGTTGGACGAACCGAGCGGATTCTGTCTGCGATCGTCAACAACAGTGACCGGGAGCCATTTCTTTGGTCTATCCACCGGGCAGCCGCTTGATCGTCTGGCAGGACACCCCCCGCCGGCTCCCACAGCACGGCTCCGGCCCGGCGTCGTGAACGGCTCCCTCCATCTCTCTCGCTCTCGCTCTCTCCCACCCTCTCCGTCTCTCACCGTCTGTCCGCGTGTCCCCGCCGCGCAGGCGCTGGAGAACAAGATCCGCCAGCAGACGGAGGAGCTGAACCAGCGCGACGAGAGCATCGTCAAGCTGCAGAAGGAGAAGAAGCAGCTGGAGGAGGCTCACGAGGTGAGCGGACGGGGATGGGGTCACTGCCCCCCGCCCCACCGCCCACCACCTAACCCCTCTCCCTCGTGTGGGCCACTTGTCGAGCGAGACGGAGTGGGACGGTGTTGCAGGTTTCCTGAGCTGCTGAGGGTCTCACGGCTTTTTTTCGTTTCCCCATGCGCAGGCCACCCTGGACGATCTGCAGACGGAGCAAGACAAAGTCAACTCCCTGCATCGCAACAACAGCAAGCTGCAGACCAAGGTGGCGGAGGTGAGTGGCCGAACGCTGCAGGGGCCTGCGGGCAGCGACGGAGGTGAACCGCTCAGCCGCTTCGTGGGTTGGTGGGTGGGTGTTGGTGGGTGTTGATGGGTGTTGGTGGGTGAGTGTGTGTTGGTGGGTGGGTGTTGGTACGCCTCACCGTATGGAAGTAGACAAATTATTAGAAAGCCCTCGTTAAAGTGAGACGTCCCGATGCAGAACCCGCATCGGAATACAGTCCAACGACGAATCAGCGAAGCCCTTATGGATTCATCAATTACATTGTCACGTAGAACTGGGCCAGGGCTGCTGAAGATCCTGGATCCAAACCTCGCTCTTCGCCGGCCGAGGTTAAACTGAACTCGTAGAATTAAAATCATCGCCGTGTGATGGGGCGTCAGCTAGCGCACCGCACTGCGAACCCAGCGACTTGGGTTTGATTTCCAGCCACGGCTAATGTCAGTGGAGGGCGATATCTAAACGGGTCCTGGGCAGCCACACTGAGCACCGTGGTGAAGCATGCCGAAACAACCCCCCGTGGGGAGGCCTTCATCCAGCAGTGGATTAACACAGGGCAGTACCGGATCAATTAAACTATCATTGACCTCGGCGAGCCGGTCACCTGATCGAAACCCCGCTTGGTCTTTGTCCGCTCCACCGCCATTACCACCACCAGCTGGAGGACTTCCTGGACCAGGAGAAGAAACTCCGCGTGGAGGTGGAGAAGGCCAAGCGCAAGTTGGAGCAGGACCTCAAGACCACCCTGGACAACCTCAACGAGGTGGAGCGCCTCAAGATCGAGGCGGAGGAGGTCATCAAGAAGTGAGCGCTCGTCAGTTTAGTAAAAACGCGATGTCGAGGGCGGCGTGTGGCCGTGCCGCCCCGGAATTCGTTCCCGCTCACGCACACATACAGGGAGAGAGAGAGAAACAGAGAGAGAGAGAGAGAGGTGGGGGACAATGATTGGGAGGTGTTGGGCAAAACCACAAACAAAGCGGGAGAGCAGCCAGAATGGCCGCTCAACGATTGCTCAAGCTCTGTGGTCACTACGTTGAGATGGTTTGGGCCGACTCCCTTATTGAGCGTTTATACACGCCGGAGGTAACCGGAGCGTGCCCAGACGGAAAAAACCCCACGGAAAATTAATCCCCTCGCTGCACCAGAGCGGACGCTGTCAGGCCACGGGGTAGGGCAGGGAGTGTCACGATCCACCAACCCTCGGCCTCCGCAGCAACCGGGTTGCAGCGCACGGTCACACGCTCGGCGTGGTGTTGGCGAGCGAGGGGGGCGTGGGTGTCGATCGCCTCCCACCCCCCTCACCTTCACCTCCTCTCCATCACCTTCACGATTGCGTAACATCGGACGTTCGTGCGTGTGCAGGAAAGAGTACGAGATCAACGCTCTCAACGCCAGGCTGGAGGATGAGCAGAATCTCTCACTCAACCTGCAGCGCAAGATCAAGGAGATGCAGGTCCGTGCATGCATGTGTGTGCACGTGTGTGTGTGTGCACGTGTTGTGTGTGTGTGTGCGCGTGTGTGTGTGCGCGTGTGTGCGTGTGTGGTGCTCGCGAAGAGCACTTGCCCAAACGGTCTTTTATAGTTATACGGGGGATCTTCGTCTTTGGGTGGGTTCTCTTCATGCGTGTAAACACTTGGAAATCGGTTTGTCCATAAACTAGCAGCTCGGCAATCCGTAAGCGGGCGAGCGGGTGAGCGAGCGAGCGAGCGAGTAGGTGGATGAGTGAGCGAGCGAGCGGGTGAGTGAGCGAAACGGTAATCGTTTATCAATTATCTTGAGGCGCAAAAGCTAAGCGTGACTTTACCGAAAGAACCAAGAAGACGGTAAAAAGTGATCGTTTATTCTTGCTTTCAGAAATGCAGTGGCTGCCCCTGTGTGCCCCGCGTACAGGTTCTACTCGAACCCGGCGGCTGCATCTATGCGTGTGTGCACGCGGTGCGCTGATATTGTTGGTGCTTGTTGTTGTTGACGTTGTTGTTTGTTTGTTTAACCTGCAGTCGCGCATGGACGAGCTGGAGGAGGAGCTGGAGGCTGAGCGTGCGACACGTGTCAAGGTACGTGCCACCGGCGCATGAGACATTAACGCAACGGGCACGGCTCAGGTTGACACAACAACCCAGGAAGTCAAGCAACGTCGGTCTAGCGTCAATCAACGTTGGCCCAACGTTTGCGCGTTTACTGAGACAACACGTGGTTCAGATTACTCACAATGGCTGTGTGTCTGTGTGTGTATGACTGAGCGATGGTGTAGCGGTTAGCGCGCTGCGCTATGAACCTGGCGACCCGGGTTCGATTCCCGCTCACGGCCAACACCAGTGACGATTATCTGAACCGGTCCCGGGCCTCCCCTAGGTCGACTCAGCCTCAAATGAGTACCTGGTGCGGTGTGTAAACATTGCCACTAGGGAGACAAAGGCGGTCGGGCGTGGTGCTGGCCACCCACCCCCTCGTGTACTGTTCCGGCCTTCATAGGTGCTCGCTAACAGCACTTGCCCCCACAGTCCGTTAAGGCTATACGGGGGATCTTTGTCTTTGTGTGCGTCTGTGTGTGGCTGTGTGTATGTATGGCCGTGTGTGTGTGTGCCTACAGATTGAGAAGCAGCGCACGGATCTGGCTCGGGAGCTCGAGGAGCTGACCGAGCGGCTGGACGAAGCCGGTGGTGCCACCGTGGCTCAGGTACGCGAAACACTCGACGCACACTGGAGCAAACACTCGCCACACTGGAGCGAAACACTCCCCACACTGGAGCGAAACACTCCCCACACTGGAGCGAAACACTCGCCACACTGGAGCGAAACACTCGCCACATTTTTATCTTACACCGCAAATGAACTCAACTGCGATGACGCGCAGACCGATGCCACAGCTCACGCTTGCGGGTGAGACTTAATCCTGGTTAGTGGAGTTCACACCTCCAATTAGCACGGTTGGCCAGGAACAGTGCGAACGAAGTTCATCGCACGCACGCACGCACGCACCTGGTTAAGCAAACGCTCACTTTCTCTTTTTTTGTGTCGTCTTGCGCCGCGGCATTGGCTCCGGCGTCTCCTCCTTCCTCCACCCGTCACGGCAGATCGAGCAGAACAAGAAGCGCGAGTCGGAGCTGATGAAGCTGCGGCGCGAACTCGAGGAGGCGGCGCTGCAGACCGAGGCCACCGTGGCCGCCATGCGCAAGCGACAGACCGAGGCGACGGCCGAGATGGCCGAGCAGATGGACAACCTGATGCGCGTCAAGGTGAAGCTGGAGAAGGAGAAGCAGGGCATGAAGGTGGAGATCGACGACCTCGCCAGCAGCCTGGAGGCGTCCCAGAAACTCAAGGTGAGGGCTCGCTCCGCCGCTTGACTGCAGTCGACGACGACCGTTGGAATTCCAGTCAAGGGTATAATTCTAGCCAACGATTTCAATCGGTCGAACGCTCGGTCAGACGGCTCTGTGCTGTTCAGCGTTGGCGCTCGCTGAGACGAGACGCGGCGCAGGTCGCCGTTCGCGCATAGGGCGCTCTGAGACGCCGCCCCCGGCGTAAAGGAGCGCCACCTCCATCAAAAACAACATCATCATCGCCATCACTCTGATTAGTATTGTTATCATTATCTTGGAGGAGATCGGTGCGCGCTGTAAAACCCAACTCCAGGCGTGATGCTCTTCTGTAAAACCCAACTCTAGGCGTGATGCTCTTCTGCGGCCGTCTGGAACGCTCTTCCTTCCGATGTTCGGAAGCCTCCCCCCCAGAGTGCTGTGCACATTTGAATCATTGAGATTGAAAAGTTATTTCTTTAGAACTACTTTTTGTTTTTGTTTGCTGTCCTACGTACGGTGCGACAAAAAGTTCAACGTACACACGCCCGTACGTACGTGGGCCCCTGGGCTCTAACCCCACGCCGCGTGTCCCCACGTGTCCCCCCGCGCGTCCCCCGCCGGCAGGCGTCCAACGAGGTGCACATCCGCAAGCTGGAGGACCAGGGGTCCGAGTCGAACCAGCGCTGCGAAGAGCTGCAGAAGAGCCTGGAGGACGTCAACAACTTCAAAGTGAAGCTCCAAGGTTTGTCAGCGGTCGTCCGGGCCCCTCGCTTTACTCAGCGAGAACAACGCGAATATTCTCTGTTTCACGAAACGTGTGTCCACCATTGTAATGCGCATTACAATGGTGGAGAGTCACTCTGTCTGTCTGTGATAAGATTTGTCCACTGATGGAGAGTAACACTGTTTGTCTGGCAGTAGCTTGTCCACTCTGGTAGAGAGTCGCTCTGTCTGTCTGCCAGTCGCTTGTCTACTCTGGTAGAGAGTCACTCTGTCTGTCTGTCTGCCAGTCGCTTGTCTACTCTGGTAGGAAGTCACTCTGTCTGTCTGTCTGGCAGTTGCTTGTCCACTCTGGTAGAGAGTCGCTCTGTTTGTCTGCCAGTCGCTTGTCCACTCTGGTAGAGAGTCACTCCGTCTGTCTGGCCTCGGTTTGTTCACGCGTAGCCGAGCACAGCGACACGTGCCGCCGTCTGGAGGACGCGGAGCACAAGCTGACGACCATCAGCCGCACCAAGATCACCATCTCCACCCAACTGGAGGAGCTCAAGAAGAACCTGGAGGAGGAGACCAAGGTTCACGCTGCCTCCACCTCCACCAACAACCACCACCACCTTTACAACCACCCGTGGCCACCACAACCATCATCACCACCACTGTCACCACCTGTGTAATTTAAATAGTCATACCACGATTATTGCTATGAACATTCAAAGTTAAAGCAAATTTCTGCTCGAATGAGCATTGAGGTGGTGGCTCATTTACCGTTCATAGCCCTGAGCCAGTGGTGAAAATTCGACATTTCTATGATGGTGGAAATTTTATCAATTTGACAGCCACTGTAGCTACAAAACGGTACTAATTTTACTAACCCCAGAGGACTGATGTATCGAGTCAACTGAACTCACCGACCTTGCGATTGCGAGCCCCTCGCTCTCCCACTGTGCTGCCCGGCCCCGGATAGTTTAACCAAACGCTGCCACTTAACATTGGACTGGATGGCCCCATAGGCTGACAGACTAACATCCTGCTGAGACCTATCCGGCCAGAACATCGTTACCATGCATGTCATCCGTGCCACCCCCCCCCCCCCCCCCCACCCCCTTACACGCGCGCAGGCGAAGAACACCGCATCGCTGAGCCTGGCCAATGCCAAGCACGACTGCGACCTGCTGCGCGAGCAGCTTGAGGAGGAGCAAGAGAGCAAGGCCGAGCTGCACCGCATCATCTCGCGCCTCAACGGCGAGCTCACGCAGTGGCGCAGCAAGTACGAGTCGGACGCCCTGCAGAGGCTCGACGAGCTGGAGGAGACCAAGTGAGTGCGGCCCGCGAGCGATGAGCCTTCCGGCAGCGTCCCGTGAAGGTCGCCTCTCCGTGCCCACGCGCGAGAGAGCGGCTTGCGCACAAACCCGGTTGCGTGCAGCTGCGAATCGCTCGCGTGTTGATGCGTCTGCAACCGGGGTTGCGAGACAGTTTCCCAACGTGGTTAGCAAGCAACTGACGCCGGTAACGTTTGATGCCATGGAAGTGTGACTTCGCTTCTCGTGATGTCACGATCCGTAACTATTTTGTTTGTTCCCACGATGGACAAAAAATTTCATACCCATGACCGATATTCAAAACATTGTCACATTAATGCGAAAATCGGGAACCTGTCCGTCACGTCTGCTTGCACGCATTTGCACCGATGTGCATGAGCGCGTCACTGAACGCACCTGCAGTTGTTCACCCGTGCGTGCTCACGCGCTGCAGGAAGAAGCTGGCAGCTCGCCTGCAGGAGGCCGAGGAGGCGGTGGAGGGGTCGCAGGCTCGCTGCGCCAGCCTGGAGAAGCTCAAGCAGAAGCTCCAGGGTGAAGTGGAAGACCTCACCGTGGACCTTGAGAAGGTACGAGATTTGGGGTGACATCCGGGCCACCGGAGGTTCATAAAAAGGGCGCCACGGTGGCCAGGAGATGTTAACTACCTCGCCTAGTATGCAGGAGGTCGCGGGTTCGATCCCGACCCTGACGCCTGCATATTTGGAGTTTGCATGGATCTTTCTTCGGGTCCTCCGGTTTTCCCCTCCACATTTAGAATCAACATCACACGTTTAGAGAATTTGCCTACTATAAATTTTCACGTGCATACGCCACTTTGTTGAGCTAGCATTTGTAATAGCCAGGTCGCTTCTGAAACAACAGCTACACAGCTCAGTGGGCCTTAACTGGTAAAATAAAAATAGTAGATTAATCGAAGTAGTGGTTATAGTTTAGTAACCGTAGCAACCGCGCCGGCGTTGGGTATCAGTCGAACGCAGCTGCCGCCCACCTGGACAAGAAGCAGCGGTCGATGGACAAGCAGATCTCCGAATGGAAGCAGAAGTCGGAGGAGCTGCAGAGCGAGCTGGAGATCTCCCAGAAGGAGTGCCGCAACTACAGCACGGAGATCTTCAAGGTGAAGACAAGCTACGAGGAGGCGGTGGAGCATCTGGAGACGCTGCGGCGAGAGAACCACATCTTGCAGGGTAACGGCGCCCCCACCCCTGCCTCGCTCCCACCCGACCCGCTCCCACCACCCATCTCCCACCCCCTGCCACCACTGCTCAGCGATCCACCAACCCCCATAGCCGCCGGTGTCTCGGCAGCGAGGTTGGTGGTTCAGCCTGAGATCGTCCGTGCGGGACACACGGACAAACATCCCAAGCGGGGAGACCACGACTGAACCCGGCAACCTGAGTTCGATTCCCGGCCGTGGTTATTATCGAGACCAGGACCGATATACCGGTCCTGGTCTCCCCACCTTGATCAAACTGCACTTGGACCACTGCGGTGAAGTAAGGTTAAACAACCCCCATGATTGACATGGCCCGGAAATCCCGCCTCGGGAACCCTCCCCCGAGTAGCGACTGTCCCCCCGCGTGCCAGGTAGCCAATACCAAGACGGCCGTGTTGTATTCCCGAGCCGTCCGCCGTGACCGCCTGGCGATCTCTCTTTGGGTGACCGACGCCACACAGAGGAGGTGACCGAGCTGTCCGAGCAGCTGAGTGAGGGCGGCAAGAACATCGTGGAGCTGGCCAAGGCCAAGAAGAAGCTGGAGCTGGAGCGCGAGGAGATCCAGCTGGCACTGGAGGAGGCCGAGGCCACCGTGGAGGTACGGCCGTCGATCCGCAGTGCACAAGCACAGCGAGAGGCCAGGAGATGTTAATTACCTCGCCTGGTACGCAGGAGGTCGTGGGTTTGATCCCGATCCCTGACGCCTGCTGTTGTATATTTGGAGTTTGCGTCTCTCTCTCTCTCTCTCTCCCCGTGGTCACGTGGATTATTCTCCGGGTCCTCCGCTTTTCCCTTCCACCTTGAGAATCAACGTGCGTTTAGAGAATGTGGCTGCTATAAATTTCCACGTGAACATCCACTTAGTTGAGCTGTCATTTGGGGCCAGGTCGCTTCTGAAAAAGAGCCATACAGCTCAGTGGGCCATACCTGGAAGAATAAAAAATAGTTTATAGCTGTAGTTTAATTTTGTGGACCCACGGAACGACTGTTCACGGTCCGATGATCGGTAAAAAAAGAATGGCGTTTCGTACAAAATAAACTGTTGCACGCAAGAATCTGCAAGAGTTCCGCGGACTGCTCCCCAGTGGTCTTGCTGACCAGCTGCGGGCGCAGGGCCCACGGGTTGGGAACCGCCGCTCTGGAGTGCCACCAACAATTCCTCCTCGTCGTCATCGTCACGTGCATCGCTCTTCGTATCCCGGTGGCTACCGGGGAGTGCGTGCAGCCGTGGGGGGGTCTCGTGACGGCGCGGTGTTGCGTTGCAGGCGGAGGAGGGCAAGGTCGTTCGCCTGCAGCTGGAGCTGGCGCAGGTGAAGGCGGACATCGACCGCAGGATCCAGGAGAAGGAGGATGAGTTCGAGGCCGTGCGGTGAGTCGAGGTCACTCGCGAGCTGTGGCCACTCAAGTCACGGTCATACCCGTCGAGGTCGCTCGCACGATGCCCGTCGGGAAGCACTGAGCAGGAATGATACCTTGGGGGCGCGATCCCGTGACCACCAACAATAATGCGAGTGAGTGGATTGTCATCTGTAGTCAGCGAAAGCGAGACATTGAAGCAGAAGAGGGAGGTCTAAGAGCGACCAGCGATTAAACCACAGAGCGACTCGAGCTCCGAGCCCTGCGTGTTCATGACGACCTCAACTCGAGTTGATCACAGTCCCATTTGGTGCACACCAAAAAAGCGGGGAAACCTTGAGCCACTTGGGGCGCTACGCTGTTGCTCTCTCCCACTCACCTCCCCCTCCCACCCCCCCTCCCACCCCCCTCCCCCCACAGCAAGAACCACCAGCGCACCATCGAGTCGCTGCAGACGAGCCTGGAGGCGGAGGCGAAGGGACGCGCCGAGGCCCTGCGGCTTAAGAAGAAGATGGAGAACGACGTCAACGAGCTGGAGCTGCAGCTGGAGCACTCAAACCGCACCAACGCCGAGAACGTCAAGCTGCTCAAGAAGCTGCAGCAGCAGGTCAAGGTGAGAGGGCCGCGATGGCGCCGAGGAGGAGACCGCCAGCCGGCCAGCCAGGCCGGGTAACGGAGTAGGTCGGAGGGGGGGAGGCGAAATCAGTTGTCGGGACGTGCGGGCGCGAGATGTAGACACTTCAGGGCCACGCCGTGAACGAAAGACGGGACGTGGCGAGAGAAGAGGCGCGCACTGGAGACGACATGGGGGGAATCCGAGCAGCTGACCCTGTGCGATGACGGCCCTTCCGCCTTAGAATATATAAGTCTATGGGTCTCTGTGTAAGTCTGCGGGTCATGTAGGTGCGCGTCAGTCTATGGGTCTCTGTGTAAGTCTGCGGGTCTCGATGCAAGGACAGTGGATGCGACGAACGAAGAGGTGAGGAATAAAAGTCTGCGGCCGACTCCATAACGGGGCCTCAGGCGCAGAGACGATGACGACGACGATGGCGATAAAGACAACGGCTGACGACGCCGATGATGACGACACTTACGCTCGTGCCGCTCCCCTCCGTCGCGTCGCCGCCCCGCAGGAGATGCAGCTGCAGATGGACGCGGACGCGCGAGAGCGCGACGAGCTGCGCGAGCAGTTCAACCTGGCGGAGCGGCGCGTCAGCCTGCTCGTCACCGAGCTGGAGGAGGTGCGCAGCGGCCTGGAGGCGTCGGAGCGCACGAGGAAGATGCTCGAACAGGACCACACGGAGCTGCGCGAGCGCTACGCCGAGGCGGACAGCCACGTGAGACTCGCCCCCCCCCCCCCGCCACAAATCCTCCCACAACGTCGCCAATGTTGTTAACACCATCGTCAACCATCATGACCATCATCACCATTGTCACCATCGTCATCATTGTCACCATGGTCACCATCTTCACCATCGTTCTAATTGTCATCATCGTCACCATCGTCACCATCGTCGCCATCATGATCAACATCATCACCATCAGTCACACCATCAGAGATGGTTAATCCACTGTCGGATGAATGGCTCCCCAAGCCACCACAATCCATTGCTCCAATTCTGTATCAGCAATCGAGGCTTCTCACACAGGTCATCTCACAAAGGTCAATTCTCGTCGTCATGGGTTGATCAATTTGCTTTCGTGGTTTCTCTTGCTGGCCGCCGCGCCGCTAACGTTCTTGCCCTTCGCTGCCCGTGTCCTCTCCGCTCCCCACAGAACATACAGCTGACGTCCATCCGTAAGAAGCTGGAGTCGGACCTCACCCAGATCACGGCCGTGCACGAGGAGATGATCGGCGAGTTCCGAGCGGCCGAGGAGAGGGCCAAGAAGGCCGTCATCGACGTGAGTGCCGCTCGTTCGGCCGCCCCAATATGAAACCATCGTCAGGCCTGTTGTCGGCTCGCTCGACGCCGACTCTTTATCTGCCGGCACATCCGAGCCGAGCCAATGTGGGGCCCTCACGGTCTGATGGTGGTTTCCCACCAGCTATTTGCCAAAACCAAGCCACGTCACGCTGGCCTCACAAGAGACCCGAATCTGGCTCGTGGGGCCAAGGGGCAGGGCTAATGACGCGTTAGCTCAGAATCAGAATCTTTATTTAGCCTGGAGGAGGAATCCGATGAGCTATGAAGCTCTTTTTTTCACAAATGTCGGGGCAGCTCCGGTCAGTACTCTGCATGCTCCACGATTCGTTCCCTGCTCGTGACGACAGCAGCGTGTGATGGTGCGTGTGCGTGTGAACTGGGGCGGCACGTGACGATGTGTGTGCGTGAACCCGGCCGCAGGCCGCCCGCATGGCGGAGGAGCTGAAGCAGGAGCAGGACCACGCGTCGCACCTGGAGAAGATCAAGAAGAACATGGAGCAGCAGTTCCGCGACCTCTCCGTCAAGCTGGAGGAGGCCGAAGCAATGGCGATGAAGGGCGGCAAGAAGATCATCCAGAAGCTCGAGCTCAGGGTGAGCACCACCGCTTGCAAACGCCGGCTTCGTATCAACAACGCAAATCCCTGGTTTATTCCTTACTCGGTAATGAACTCTACCGTGGCCCGATGTGCGCGTGTCAAAGTCTCGCTCACCCACGTCGCTCAGTTAACCGCGGCGAGCGTTTGCCGTTCGCCGTTTGTCAGACCACGGCATCGTCCCCTTAGCGCGGACTTAACTCGAGGCTGGAGCCGGGCGCTGATCACAATCGTTATAAAGCGCATCGCAGCACGCGCTTTGAGGAAGGGCTGTTGCCTGAAACGTCACCTTGTTTATCCTTTTAAGACCCGCAGTGTTACTGAGGAACAAGTTGAGTTTTTTTATATTTTGTAAAATACGCGCGCCGTTTATCATCCTCCCGTGTGTGCGCGTGTGCGCGTGTGCGTCGCGTGTGAAATCAAACGCAGATCCGCGAGCTGGAGGCTGACCTGGACTCGGAGCAGAAGCGCCACGCGGAGACCATCAAGAACCTCCGCAAGATAGAGCGCCGCATGAAGGAGCTCATCTTCCAGACGGAGGAAGACCACAAGAACCAGCAGCGCATGCAGGAGCTGGTGGACCGGCTGCAGAGCAAGATCAAGACCTACAAGCGGCAGATGGAGCTGGTGGTACGTCACGCGCTCCGCTCCCCCCACAAGCCACCACCGTCACCGACAATGACGGCTGGAGCAGAACCGTCGGGGCGAGGGCCGTTAGCGAGCTCCTATCCAGGCCTACGTGGGGCACGAGGGTTGTGGCCGGCGTGGTGTGGCTGGGGCCACGCTCCGAAGCCCCCCCCCGCCCCCCCCCCACCTTTGTCTACCTAGTGCTTGTGTTTGCACTCTGCGAGGCGAGACCACCACCGCTTACAAAAGCCAGGTCCCGAAGTGCGAATGTTTGTTTTTCTCATCAACAAAGTGTTCAACCACCGCGCTGCCGGTCACAACACTTCTCTCCCCCATCGTAACCTAGTGCTGATTGTCGCTGGCCGCATGACGGTTTGGGCTTTGGAGGCCCCTGTGTTCAGCAACCGTGTTAACAAAACTAAAAGAAAACGCCATCCACACCGGCCTTTGACCCCCTTCGTGACCCCCCCACCCCCTCCGCGCGGTGCAGGAGGAGGAGGCGAGCTGCAACCTCGTCAAGTACCGCAAGACAGTGCACGAACTGGACGAGGCGGAGGAGCGTGCCGGCATGGCCGAGTCGGCGCTCGTGAAGCTGCGGCTCAAGAACCGCGGCCAGACCATCAAGGGCTTCACCACGATCACCACGCACGAGGAGTGAGGGAGCCGGCGGGCACCCGCACCGACGCCCCTCCGGTAACCCGGCGTGCCACTCCTCACGGACACCCGCTACACATTTGGTGCGTGCGTGTGCGCGTGCATGCGGTGCCCCGGTCGGTTTGTTAAAACAAGTTGGAAAATGTTTGTTTGTTCAAGATGCCTGAGAGCAGGCCATCGAACAGGAGACGGTCGCTGCATCGCGCGGCACTTTCGGATGCGTTTCTGCGGCCGTCTGGAACGCTCTTCCTTCCGATATTAGGAGGCCACTGGAGCTATGCACTTTTAAATCGCCCAGATTGAAAACGCGTTTCTTTAAAAATGCTTTTGCCGTTCGGTTTATTGTCCTTCACCCGCACTGTACGGCGCAAAAGAAGTTCAACACACGTGCAGACAGACAGCTGAACTTACGATTTCGCCCACAGGATTACAGCACACCCATTCAAGCTTCACGACGGCAGGCAAAGACCGGCGGCATTATCGGCGAGCGTCCACTGCAGAGCGGGAAGACACCAACGAAACCCTTGGGGGTCGTCACCCGCCGCACCCCGGCGACGCATCGACGGAGCGCGGCTGTCGATCTTTCCGCCTCTCGTCTTCATTTCAAACGCCCGACGCACGCGCGCGCGCGCAGGCATAAGCACGCAAGCGCTCGCGTGCGTGCGACGCACGAGCAGAGGGGCACGAATGAAGATTTGCGCGACACTCAATTTAGATTTCAGGGCTCGCTGTGTTCTCTTGAAGGTTCTGGAGGGGGGGAGGGGGGTGGGGGTTGAAAATAATTGACGATGGGGGGCTGCCGACACAAACGACGTTGTAAGTTTTGTATTGCGCTGTGCGATTGTGTGGGCAGTGAACGGAATGAATGACCGCGGTTGCCGACCGTCCACGTTGTTGGTGCGAGGGAGCAAATTATAGAAACGCTCAGAAACCCTGAAAGACCCACACGCAGCAAATTAATCGTAGTTGAAAGACAACGACGAAAAAAAATTTGGTAATTTAAAAAAATACGGATATTTGAATCGCCATTTGAACAACCAGAGGTGCTCATTTGTAACACAAACCGAATTTTTTTTTAATCAGAATTTAGTTGGAGAGGGTGGCCATGCATTTGTACGCCGCCATGCCTTCAGTGTGGTGCAGGCCGGGGTTGTTATGTGAGGTGTCTCCAGCCGGGCGCTGCTGCGCCGTGTTAAAGCAAGTTGCGTGTGCCCTGTGTGTGAATGCGATGCGAGCAAGCGCTGCCCACGAAGATGGAATCTAACAACAACAACGAAAAAAATAGAGCCTCGAGCCTCTGCCGGTGCGTCTCTCTCTGTGGCGTCGTCGCCCACCGGTGAACGTTGCTAGACCCCCCCTCCCTGCCCCCCACTCCCTGCCCCCCACTCCCTGCTCCCACTCCCTGCCCCCCACTCCCTGCCCCCTACTCCCTGCCCCCCCTCCCCGCCCCCCCTCCTTCTGCCTCTCTCGCCGCTGCCGCGTGCCCGCTGCAATCCGGATCGAGCGTCGCTCTGCGCATAACAAACCGTAGTAGTCAGTGTAGTTATTTAACACGCATTAAACAACCTGAAGGCGAACTGCTCCGCGTGTGTTTCGTGCCTTTTTCCTCCGTCTCGAAAAAACAACCCCAACAAACAGCAAACACAGTAAACCCACGGCGAAGTGCTTCCACTGAGAGAAATCGGAGGGAAGGATAAAAACAACAAACATTATCATCGATGCCGGCCTGGCGTAATAAGGAGCACACCGGACTTGCTATTCAGATGCCGTCGGTCCAATCTCCCGGGGGGCGGCAAATGCAACCACTCAGGAGACGAGATCCACCGCCACCTCCCCGCCTCTGTCCTCCCGGCAGGATCACAACCACAGTTCGGAGATCGGCAGGCCGCGCGTGCTGGGGTAAAGTGTGGACATTGCCATCTATTCCAAGACCTCCGGGCCAGCGTGGATGATTAGGCCAAGATAGCCGCTAGAGGGGACTCTCTAACAGCCCCCCTCTCGTGGAGGCTTTTTCCGCCAGCAGTTTGCTCGAGAGAGCAATTGTAGGACTGCGCCTTTACCCGTACCTTCCCCGAGACAATGTTGCCTCAAAGGGTATCCACTGAGCTGCAAAATGCCCTTAACCGCCCCCAGCCACCCTGATGGTAACTCGCTTCGAAACACTCGTCACAACCATAATCCAAGCTCTCACGACAATAACATATATTTTAAGCTAAACACCTTTACAATCATCGACAACAGGCATAGCGAACGCTTTTGATGTTCTCAATATTTCGCTGAAAGTGCAATGGTTAGCACACCGCCGATTCCATTCTATCTCCCGGAGCGGCAATTGAAACAATGAGGCAAGCCTCTTGAATCCCCCCCGCCCCTCCACGTCTCCCGCCTCTGTCCGCCCAGCAGTATGAATGGCTTCACCGCAGTCGATCGGCAGGTCACGTGCGGTGGTGTGCAATGTGGGCACTCCAACCTCTTCCACAACGTCTGTCCGGCGTGGAAGAGCAGGCTCGAGAGGAGCTCCACAGAGCTCCGTCTAGTGGAGGCCCAGTGTCGTGAGCAAGCAATTGCAGGGCTGTGCCTCTAGGTGCTTTAACGTGGAACCGCCACCAACACCAAACGGCGCTGTCCAAGGTGCTGATGTTTGCTGCCCCCTTTGAGAAGCAACAGGCAAAGCGAGCGCTGCTCTGTGTATTGTCTCGTCGCCATAGGAGTGCTGACACATCATCGCACGCAATGCTTGAAGACGGTCCACAGTACCCGCGCGGACTGTGTTGGTGTCTGCACGCAAGCCCTGCTGTCGCTCTCTCTCTCTCTCCATGTGTTCCTCCTCCTCGTTGTGCTCAATCCACGCTCTCTCACTCTCTCTCTCTCTTCTCGCCCACCCCCTTCACCGGAACAAACTTCCCCCTCCACATTAAGCGGTCACCTTCACACACAACTCACTTATTGTTACCCCTAGCTCACCCTACGACCCCCCCCCCCCCCCCGTTAATCTCCCCTTCATAACCACCGCCACCCTTACTATTCCCTCTTCGTATTCTTATTACACGGCTATCACTCATTAACCCTCATTCATTCAACCCATTCACCAACATTTACTGTCATCAATTTGGCTTTCTCCGAATTCAGCACCATCACAGATTCGCGCCCCCCCCCCCCCCCGCTTCCTCTCGTCTATTCGATTCGCCTCGTCTCCACCATTACATTCATACGCCGTACCATGCTTAATTATCTGTAGAGCGCCTTAGTGACGGCGCTAGATAGATTACGTGAAGACAAAAGACGACAACCTCGTGTCGCTGCGCCGACGCTTTCGCGCGTTCAATTGCGTGGCGCGGTCGGACCCGATCTCGATTGAGCAACCGCTGGGGCCCGTGAGCAATCTCACGACAACACCGCGCGCTGCGCGCTGGAGCTCAGCGAATGAGTTGCGCAAACTCCTACAGAGGCATGTGTGGACATCGAGCCCTCTGAGGTTCCTGACCAATAGAGGGCTGCTGTCGGCCCGTGGTTGGTCCCAAGGAAGGGGGGGGGGGGGTGGGTCGCGTGCTCGAGGGCGCCGGGGTCTGTCCGAGCGTCGGGCTGCGAACTCGCCTCGTGGGCCCTGACGCCTCCACCACGGGCCGCGAGCAGAAGTGGAATGGCGTTGCAGCTACCAGCTCAATGCAAAGTGGTGCTGTGCGGAGTTGAGGATGTTTTGGTTCACTTATTTTGCTGTCGTCGTCGTCGCATTACCGGTAATTGTTTCAGAAATTACAGTAATTGTTGGCAATTTTGTTTGAGTTGCATACCGAGGTATGCAACTCAAACAGAGTAATATTCCCTTCGATATAGAATCAACGATACTCTGAATATCGTCATGTTGTGGTTATCGTTACTCATTTTAAACGTTAAAAATAATGTATTTGTCTATACTTCACCAGCTTGTGCTGTGTGGGGGTCCCACCGACACATTGACTCGCCACTGATGTTACCATGGCTGGGAGTTGAGCTCAGGTTGCCGGGCTCAGCTAACCCCTGCACCAACGCTCCCTTGCCTCCCACCAAGCATGGTTTACACGGATTATCTCAATTGCATATGGCTATGCAACTTACATCCACAGTAGTGTAATGTGTTGCTTATATCAGAACTACGCCGATATAAGGTGTGCTCATATGCAGATTCACTGCATTTGATAAACCGTGCATTTTGCATTGTGATTCTACAGTTTTGCACCAGGAGTTAACAAAGAGAGAAATGAGACACGCAAACAGTGGGATTTCAGTTTCAAAAATCACTTTATTTCGGTGTTGTCATACACTGCGGACCAGCTCGACATACACTGCGGAGTCACCGTGGGTCAGGGCGTTGGTTAGGGCCAGGGGCGATTTGTGTAAATGCCGGCACAGAGAGGGCTTTGTCCGCGGTGCCAGTTTAGCTAATGGGAAGCAAATTGCGTGGAGCAGCTGTTCGTTGTCATGTTCCAGGACGTTGGCGGTTGGTCGGAGGGCCTCTAGTACTGGGATTTCAGCAGGATGCTGACTTGGCTAAGGAATTTCTCCCAAGCTGCTTGAGCCTCGGCCCCTAAGCCTCCGTTAGCAGAAGACACCCCCTCCACGATGTTAACAGCCAGGACCTGCACACACACACAGACACAGACAGAAGGAGACAAGGCACGCATGTTCAGCGTGTGACTTTCTATATATATACCAATACCCGCCATTCGCCACTAAGTGACGGTGCACCTGTGCCAGGCCAGGTGCACTTTGAGGCCACGTCAAGTGTCGAAGGCTCGCTCACAGGTCACGGGACAGACCCAGGTGCCACGGGTTGGCTGACTGATATGACTGGCAGATAAACTAGCTGTGCCTCCTGCTGTGCCTATATATATACACCCCTACACACACGTGCTGCCAAAGTGGTGGTGTCATTGTCGTCGGTTCAATCCGATCTTCCGACGCAGCAGTTGAAACGATGGGGCAGGTTTCTTAAATCCCCCCATCCCCCCCCCCCACCCCAGCGCTTGTCCACCCAGCGATGTGAATGGGTTCACGCTTATTCGATGGGCAGGTCGCGTGTGATGCAGTAAAGCGTGGGTCCACTCAGACCTGTTCCAAGACCACTGACATTCATTTGACATAAAATACCCTACTATTTGGTTATTTCGGTAAAGTCACGTAGGTATAAAATAATATAAATTAAATCACGACGTTTCGGGCGCAACACAATCGTCCGTCATCAGGTGGGACAACCACAGCAAGAAACAATTGCTGAAGTGCTGTGGTTGTCCCACCTGATGACGGACGCTTGTGTTGTTATACCTACGTGACTTTACCGAAATAACCAAAGAGTATGGATCCCTGCAGTCACGAAAACCTCAAATCTAGATCAAATACCCTCTCGAGAGGGCTCTGTAACTCCTCTGTCGGTGGATGGCTGTTCTGCCAGCAGTGGCATGAACAGGCAATCGCAGGGCTGCGCAATTTCCCACAGTGGTTATTCACATTTATAATCTGCACGCTACCAATTCTAGGGAGCTAGTGTTGTGTGTGCGCTCCTGTAAGCTGCGCTTCATCACTGAGCGAATTGTGCCCCGTGGCTTGTGACCAAGATTTGCGTTGGCAAGCGCCAACGGTAACGTCAGTGAGTGCACCTTGAAGTACTGGGGGTCCACGTTGAACTCCTGAGCGTGCTTCTTGCTCAGGGCCTTGAGCTTCAGGCTCAGCTTCTCGGGGTCGTCCAGGGCCACCACGGCGTCGTTGACGGCGTTGATGATCCTCTCGGCGTGCCAGCGCACGGCGGCCGACTTGCTCAGCTGGTCGGCCGAGTCGAGCCCCTTGAACTTGGGGAAGAAGTCCTGCACGCCGGGGTTGGACGTGAAGAACCTGGCGGGAGAGAAAACGCAACGTCAACGCGGTGGCCAAGTGTCGTGCGAAATAATCTTCAGCCGATGAAAACATGCTGGCCAACATGTAGGGAGGCGGGGGCATCTATGACCCTGCCCTAGCACTGACGTCAAAGGGCTCTCGGCTCTTGAGACGAAACCCGAGGTGTAATTTTCGCACGGGGGGATGGAGTTTGTTGGGATGATTGTTCCCGCTCGGGAATATTATGAGTTGGTGTTTTTTTACATTAAGATATTTCACCTGGAAAATCTCGTTGAGATCCAACTTCTCGTTTGCAGGGTTTTCCTGTTTCACCACTTAGCTCTTCCTTCACAGCAGAGGCGTTGCAGTTTTAACGTGTGCTCACACTCTTTGATTGGTATTATTTCTGTATCGACTGCTCACTTAACCTGTACTCAAAGCCAAAACCACAAAAACTCAGCACATTCGTCAATAACACTGCCTCAAAAGAACACGTCATGTCAATCTTCTCCAGAGCACATGACGTGCTACGGAGAAGGACCGCTGCGTCAACAATTGTTTTCTCTATTGACGAATGCATTGAGGTGTTAGTTTGTTGTCGTTGGTGTTGTCATCTGTGCTAGTGCACCGCTGCCAACGCAGCAGCAGCAGCCGCAGTATCACCAAATGCCCAGTGACATGGAGACGGTACACAATTCGCGACGGTCGGTGGCTGTGAGCGAATTCTCCGGCAC